ATATCATTCATCGACATCGTATGTCAGACAGATGATAAGGGTCGATTTTCTTGAGAAAAGTCCGAAGTATGCAACAATTTAATCCGGTTACCATGTCACCGTGAATCGTTTATTAAATTTTCTTTTCGCATCATCAACATCCGTAAAACGACCATAGTAGCCTTATTTTAAAATTTTACCCAAGAGACTTTTCTTGATTTTAAAGTCCTTTATAGTTCACTCGCCCGCCATTACAAAGCATAAATTGATTAAGCTTTATATCACTAAACGTAAACAACACTCAACGGTTCCACTTAACTTCGCAGTTACTTAATTATCCACGTTTTATGCAACTCAAGGTACGTTTAATTAGTCGGTGAAAAACATTTATGCCATAACGTGATTCTTGCCATATATGGAATTATAGTGATCACACTTTTGACATATCTCGTCTCAGGACCGAAACGATACTATCAGATTCATCCACATTCCAGAAACAATAACGGTCCGATGAGCGAGTCCGGAAGAGTTGCCGTGAAAATGTTAATATGATGATTAGCAAGGTTAATGCCAGCGGTTGTCGAGAATAGTTCGTTTTCGATTTTTCTTCTTTTGAATCTCTGAAGCTTTTGGTTTTTCAACGACGCCAGCTGTGTTGAAAGAAGACGTTCCGATGAGTAATCATTTTTCTTGAAGCCATAGTAACACGTAAAAATCGGGAACAAATTAGTGAACTATAATATCAACTAGAAATATCTTTCACTTTGAAGCCAGCATGATGCCATCTGCAGGTAGCTCCAGTCCTTTTGTAAAAAATATGGCATTTTATGTTTATAAAATTTCAAAAAGTGGATCCATTAAAACTATAGTATTGCGATCGTGACTAAACACCACACGAGTACATACACATACTTATAACATATTTATACATACGAGTGACATACAGTATTACGAGTAACATACAGTACATACGAGTAACATACGAGTACATACGAGCGACATACGACTATTTTCTGGTCAACAAATGAGAAACAACACAATTTCGCAATACATTGATATTTGTTTATTTTTCTTTTATTTAGAACTTTAGTAAACCATTTGATGATTTAAAAAAAAAGTATTTTCCTTTCATACTACATTTGTATGTTTTAGTTGAATTTGTTATAGATATTTTGTCGATGCGATTTACCAGTATTTGAGCGCTTTTTGACACACTTTCACCTAGGAAATACATATTTATGAAGGCGATTATACATTCATTTTGGTCTTTGAGATACTGATTTTGCAGTTAAAAGACTGAATTATATCAGCTAGAACTTTAAAAACATTAAAATAAGCTGAAATTGTGCGCATAATATGATATATATACGTAACACAGTGCAACTCTCATTTAATTCAAATATACATAATGTACATTTATTTCATATAGCACGTGTTGAAAGCACTATTTATACGTTGTTTATTTAATCGTTTTCATAAATATGTATTTCCTAGGTGAAAGTGTGTCAAAAAGCGCTCAAATACCGGCAAATCGCATCGACAAAATATCTATAACAAATTCAACTAAAACATACAAATGAATGTAGTATGAAAGTAAAATACCTTTTCAGCATTTAAATCCATCAAATGGTTGCCCCAAAGTCCACACAAATACAAGGAAAAATAAACGCAAATATCAATGTATTGAAGAAATTGTGTTGTTTCTCATTTGTTGACCAGAAAATAGTCGTATGTCACTCGTATGTACTCGTATGTTACTCGTATGTACTTGTATGTTACTCGTATGTACTCGTATGTCACTCGTATGTACTCGTATGTTACTTGTATGTACTCGTATGTACTCGTGTGGTGTTTTAGTCACGATCGTAGTATTGCTGAATAATGTTAAAGCAAAGACAAAAATTACCTGAAGCCCGTGCGATTTTTTGTTGCTTTTTCTGCGTTTTTGAAGGTTTTAGGCATACATAAACGTTCAATCCACCAAAATATTATAGTTCCATGTTAAATACACAGTCCTACGAGCTTTCGTAAAAATTGAGCAATTTGCAAATTAGAAAAATGTGTTTTGAACAACATTTCGAATACCATAGAAATATATACATCTGCAAATATATATACAGCTTAGTGTCATAAAGAAAAGTGCAAGGTCCTCGGAAAAGGATTCTTAAAAAACTATTTTCACATGAGAAAATGAACACATTGCATATAACGGGCCGATAAACTTGATATAATGTATTGTTAAAAACAATCGTCCACGATTCTCGCCGATTATGTTTCTCCTCGAAGTATCTTGCTGAGGCATACGCTAATTATGGTAGATGCAATTTTAGAGCACAAAATGTGTTAAAAAAACCAAAAGAAATAATTTTTTCACTGTTTTCAACTGCCAACAGGCCAAAACAAAAGTCGGTCGCCAAGAAAACACGCATTATATCAGGGGGGAGCTTCGCTTTAACCATCCATGGCAAGAACTGTAGGAATTATCGTTCCAGTTGTTAGTATAGTTCACTGGAACAAATCTGTAGTTAGTTATAGATTTTCATCCGATTTTTCGAGTCGGACGACTTTCGAAATATGGAAAGACACGTAATATAGCCTCAGTGTCGGCCCCACTGATATGTATATTAGACTAGATAACGCATCTCTTGCGAAAATTGAAGCCGGAAAATCGATCATTTGCTACTGGCTTCATGGGGGGTATCGCTCCCACTTTAGTATAATCTGTATTACAAAATCACAGTTTTCGCGTTTTTACTCCTTTTACAAACTTCTGATTATTGCAAAAATTTTTATGACATGTACAGGGAAACCGGTAGAGAGATTTAACCCTGAAGCTCTGTTTTTTTGGCTTTGTAACAATTGAAAAATAAGATGGCAAGTTGTATTGAAATTTGAAAGTTGAAGGTGACGAAGATAATTTCAGCAGTGCGAGGCATTTTTAGAAGATGAATACTTAAATTAAAAATTTACAACAAAGTAAGAACAAAGGTATTCATATCTTGAACATATTCGTCGTTATTGAATTTGTTCACGTAGGAACTGGTCGAAAACTTTGCTTCGCTTAATGACGACAGAAGTACTTTAATTCGCATATTTTGATGATATACATCTCGTAGAGTTTAACTTACCATTGTTCATCAAAATGTCTTTCTGATTACTTTTCTATGTCGATTTGTTTTGTTTCTTCACTGATATAATAAAGACGTATTTTAAAATTATTATGATATTAGCGATGTGAATAACAAAGTGTTGTTAAGAATATTTTATGCAGTGCGGTGTTTAAAATTAAATGAAGATATGATCTTCGCACTTTGCTGGACAATTTAAACAATCGTCTCGGGACCTGAAAAAATCAGGTGACTCAACGGGATTCGAACCCATGACCTCTGCGGTGCCTTGCTCTGACCAACTGAGCTATGAAGTCACACAGTGGTGAGCAGGTCAATATTGTTGGGCTCATGTTTTCTCATGAAAGGAATGTCGTATGAATATTTTATGCAGTGCGGTGTTTGAAATTAAATGAAGATATTATCTTCGCGCTTTGCTTCACTCTTCATTTAATCACTCTTCAATCTGTGGCTCACGACTAGACCAACGAAAGTGGCCGTGCCGCAAACAGCTGCTAGGACTTCGAGCGTGATCACGACAGGAATTAAGACGACGGTACTGAGTACTGCCACGCCGCTAAAAGCACTGCCCACAGTGATAGCAGCTAGGGCTTTGCCCGCGCTGTTTAACCATTTCACAGCTCTTTTGTACTTTTTGTAGAGCGTTTGGCGGGCTTCCATTTCCGCGTGCAAGTGAGCTTCGACCTCTGAAATCTTCTGTAATCGGTACGTATTTCCGGCATCGCTCGCAGTAGGCAGCGTAGGATAGAGAGGCGCCTTCGACATCGGAGTTGAAGAAGAGGGCGCGGAGGGCTCACACAAGGTCATACTGCTCCAATAGCAATGTCATTATAAAATCAACGGTAGCGTCTGTTGAAGAAAACCCAATAACGGCACCCGCGTCAACCTCTAATGCAAAGTCGAAAACTGTGAAGCTGAAACCTGCCCGCGTGGCTTGCGCACTTCGAAAGTTGACTTCTCAACATCGTTCACCTTCAGCCGGATGGTGGGAACATCGTTTACAGCAGCCGCAATCCCCATGCGAAGCACTCGACTCGAGCTGAGAACCGGGCCAAGCGGAGACCATCCGCCGGCCTCATTCTCCGCCTGCAGAGTAATACGCGTAGGAGGGCGTCCCACCCTCCTCGTAGCGCCATCGGAACGCCGATACTCAACCCGCTTGGTGACCTGAGCTTGGGTGAGAACGGTCTCCAGCTGCGTACGGGTGGGGCGGTCAAAGGCGTATTCCCATACAGAGATTGATCTCGGTGGATCTTGCTCGGCATCGAATTGGCAGTGGAAGCGCGTTAAATTCGTCACAGGAAGTTTCATATCTTGGAGCCAAATCTCGACTGCTTGTGCTTGGGTCATACACAAACCTAAAGCCATGCTGATTATGTGTATCAGGGGAACTCAAGATAATACAACCTTTAGGTACGTCTCCAATTGTATCCGTACGTGCCTCGGTTGTCCGAGACTTCCCGCGGGACCACGGAATAGCGAGTGAGAAGAGAGGTGCCATCACCCCGCTAGAAGAGATGGAAGTTCCAAACGCAAGCCTCTCGCAGTTTACCGCTGCTTATATGATACTTCTCGTTTTCAGCCCGCTCAATCCAGAAGCTCTGAATCCGTACTTTGTCATTATTCAGATTCGCACCCTCCCCAAACCGCGCCAGCACAACGTCCTGTCGTACGAGATCAGGCAGCGTTCCTGTAGCAATTCTCCGTAAACCACCTGAACGGTCATCAAGGCCATGGAGGTCGAGCATGTTTACCTTCAGCTGCGCGACAGTATGAGAGAGAGTGCCCTCGGTATCCTCATTCCCAATTTTTGTATTGTTTTGACCACATCATCCTGAAAACGAGCAAGCTACTCCTCCTGATCACTGATTACCGAAGCAGCCGCCGTCTTCTCCCAAGTGTTTGTCCAAAATGCCATTTCCATGAAACATTCAAACAAGGCCTCGAGCGTTCAACATAGCAAGACATTTGCTAATGATGCGGCTCCCGTTATTGAGGAGCACATTAATAAAGGCGGCATCGCTAGTCATCTTGCCTCTGACGCCTCCAGGCATAAAATGACGATCATAATTTATAATTTTGCTCTCGGGTGTTTTGGAGTAGGTCTCAAGCAAGTCCGCTAAATCACAAACTTCTGCCCTGACCCCGGTACCGCAAGAGGATGCTGTTTAATTTCCTGCAACTTCTGCCTCGCCAGGCGAAATTGGGGACTGCCGAAGTCGACTACGGCGTTAGCGACCACCTCAAAGGGATATTTGCTGAGAAACTGTTGGTTTACGTTGTTCACAAGCACGCGATAGTAAGCCACGATGGCAAGACGCATATCCTGATCCACCTGAGTCTCCCTGAGATTGGCTTCAAACCCTTGAGGGTTTTCCATGAATAATTGTACCCGCTGCGCACGCGGAGTGAAATAGTTGCTTTTGAGAAAGGCCTCGGGAAACGTTTGGCCCGCCAGAAAGCGGCCAAAGACGAACAGCAGCAAGCGATCGAACTCCCCCTCTTTCCGAGTCTGGAGAGAAGGCGCGGTTGTAGTGAACGTAGGGAGTTGGTTTTTCAAACGGACAGAAGAGACGCAGTCGCGAAATTGGCCTGTATCTTCAGAATAGTTCAGCAACCTGGATTTGACCGCGCTCAGGACCGACTCTTCATTGAGAAGCTCAGGGTGGCCCTCAAACAAGGCATAGAGCTCTTTTACGCTTGGGTGTTTTTTTAGCTCCAGCAAGCTCAAATTAGCAAGGGGATGGGTTGGTATATACTGCAATGCTTTGCGCAAGAAGGAGACGAAATCCCGGTGGCGATTTGGTGCTCCAGCGCCCTTTGCTCGGGCCCCTTCGGGGAGATAATCCAAGACCTCCATAAAGGTCTTAGCGCGTTTGATAATGTGCTCGGGTTGGCTTTCGATAAACTGGAGGACCTCCAGCCGCCGCGCCTTTGGGATGAGGAATGCCGAGAGATAACCATCCGCCACGGGCTCAAGACGCTGTGGGAGACCATCGACGATCCGGACTCGAATATGTTCCATTTTTCTTCAAACATACACTTAAAAAACTGGTGATATCCCTCTTGAACTTCTTTCTCTAATTCTTGCTCAGATTTTTCTTGTAATGACGGAGAAAGCAAAGATTTCATTGAAAGTCCACCGCAATAGTTTTTTTGTTGCACTAATAAATGAATCGCTGATTGGTGCAGTCCATAGCGAGGATCGGGCGATCGCAGCGGGTCAAGAGTTTCTCGTACAGTTTGAAGATGAGAGCCGGTTTATTGCCCGTGCCGCCGAAGATTGAATTAAGAAACCGCTTGACGTTCGACTTATCCGTGAATCGGAAGAGATAGAGAAAGTTTGTGTTAAGCTTCATATCCTTTATTGTGTCGAAGCTCTGGGAGAGGAAGAAGGCGTTCAATTTCAGATGATGGCTATACAGAACTTATAGAGTCATTCCCTATGCATTCCGCATTTGAGATTCATGACGCGGATGTCGTCGATGATGACGTAGAACTCCGGTTCTATACTCGTATCCTCGATCGATTCAGGCATCGCGGAATAATGCTTCAAGACCGTGTTAGTTTGGATACATTGATCAACGGAGGTGTTCGAGATGATGTACAGCCTTTTCGGATGAACGTGAGCAAGGAGCCGCTTCATAAAGAAGCTCTTGCCGTAGTCGGCGGCGGCATTTGAATTAATCCCGGTGCGTCTCCGAGCCTCGAGTCGGTAAAGAAGAGAATCATCCTCCTGGGAATCGAGGCATTGTTTAGGAACGCCAGAGTGCCAGCGTCATCGTTCAACGACTTGTGAAATACCCTGGGGCACCAGGTGGGGAAATTCAGCTCCTTAGCGATCGAGACCTGGTGGCTGTAGTCTTTTTTCATGAGATAGATGGGGTAGACAATATTGAGCTCCGGGAGATGTATACGTATTCTGCTGATAGCGTCTGCCTTATCCGCACCGCCCCCTTTGTTAGAATTGATCATGTAGCGACTTGACCGCCCTGTGGGAGGTCAACGCGAATCTTCCCCTGTGTGCCCGGAGGCAGCCAATAATATCCACTGGAGTAGAGGGGGTGGTATGGGCGAAACTTATACTGAAAGTTCCCGCTGAGAACACGGACGATATTTTCTTGCACCGTATTCGTGAAGGCTTCGGTTAAAGAGAGCTGGACACCAGGCACCCTTTTGAGGGTACTATCGGCATTAAAGTCAGGGCCGGCTCCGCCTGCTGTGTTTGTCGCAAAGGCATAGCCAACGCAATGGTCTACTCCATAGGAGTAGGTCTGCAAGGGGAGAGCTTTCAAAGCCTTCTTGGGATCCAGCTTCTGTAAGCCGAATAAGTCACTATCCGCGTATTGCAACTTCCCGATCGAGCTCTCGATAAGACTCAGGATGTGCTGAACCGGCTGCATATCAGCCACGATGTCACTCTGCGTGACCTCTTGCTGGTAGAGCTCCACATGAATGTTTTTTACCCAACTAAAGGCCGGGCTCGTGGGAGAATCCAATTGGGGTAATCGCCCGTGTTTGGGTGGTTGCAATTGTCTTTTACCGCGTACCGCATCTTGTCGATGAAATAGGATTCCGAAAACGCCATAAAGTTGTTTGCCGAGCTGATGTCTATCCCAGACGAGAGACTTGGATTGTCCGGATAGAGAGTGAGCCTAGCTCGCCCCTCAACCAGGAAGACCTTATTTTCGGTCCTCTCCTCGATGGCATCCTGGACTACCTTCACAGGTGACAGCAGACCACGGAAGGGCTCGGGGATTTGGGGTGTGTCATGAGTCGTCGCAATGGTTCGTCTTCGGTAAATGCGTCATAGCTTGTACCTCTAATTGGATGTAAGGGGGTTGTTTGGTCATTTTTAACAGGGCAGCAGCAACAAGCGTAGTCCTATCCGCGGTGAATAACTCGCCGGCGGTCAGCCGCGGCCTTCTCAAGCCGAACTTTACGATGCGGGTTAAGGACCTGAACAATGTGGGAAAGGCAATTTTCGTCGAAAGTGCCCAGTTTGAGCTCCATTATCTGAATGTCGGGCCTGAAAGCAACAAGCTGTACGTTGTTAAAGGTGACAGCGAGACCGCACTCAGCATCCTCACGGGGACATACACAGAAGTTGGGCACCTCATCAGAGTTATAAACCAGACTCTGGCCAACGCCTGTCAGCGACGGTAGTCTTCAGCTACGCGTGAGAACCGAGTTTCAGGAAAGACCTTGAAGATAAAAAGAGCCCCTCCCTCATAAGATTTTGAGGACCATGTGAAAACCCTCCCTTATGCGACCTGAGCGGTCGATAGTCCACGGATCTGACTACCCGCTGGAGATAACTCTGAATCCTCAAACCGAGACACTCGACGGCATTAACAATTCGACTTGCGGCGCCCAGCAACTCTACCAACAAGTTATGAGGTGTCCTTTTGTTGAAATTCAACACTGGAGAGTACATTTCCAAAGGGTATCCGATCTTTCTGGATCTAAGAACCATTGATATTAATTAATTTTAATCAGAGATTTATTGTGCCAAAAGATGATATGAGCAACGTATCAAGCTAATGATGGGTCTTCCGGAGGAGCTTTGGGTTGCCTGCCATGGTTTTGCTGCAGCCGCTCGCCATGATCTTTGCGGTCAATGTCTGCGAATGAGAGGATTTCCACTTCTGGAGCTCTGCGATATTGCCGATGTCTAGCTGGAAGGATGGAGAGCAATGTCTCGGGAGGCGTTTGTCGACATGGGAAAGAAGAACCTACCGTGCGCGGTGCGGGCAAAAGACGGTATTGCTCTTTTCGGCAGCTGCCCACTTACTGTAGAAGCGCTCCAACACCTCAAACCGGTCGAAGGGGGGCACCACTGGCTAACTGTTTGTTGTACTAGAACGCATGTGCTTGTCTTCGATAGCTTTGGACGTGCGCTCGCTACAATAGAGGAAGCATATACAGAGCCTCAGCTGCGCAGATATTTTCTGGAGGCCTTTCCCGAGCAGGTCATGGTTACGAATACGTTTGCAGTGCAAAGTCGAGCAACGGCTGTCTGCGGGCGCCATGCTGTCCTGGCGTGGTGGCTGTTTATAGAAGAGGGTTCTGTAGAGGTGCTTTTAAAAAGATTAAGGGGGTGTTCGGCGAAGACACTCTAGCTAATGATCAGAAAGTGCTCGACCTTGTGCCTCTGACCACTGGCGGTGGTCCTGACGATTTCGAAGCTGAAGAGAATTCGCCTACGACACGTCGTAGTGTCGAAACCGTCGTCCCAACAATGAATGGTTGCGTTTCTACGGACGAAAACGATGAGGGACATCTCGCAGACGTGTTCTACAGTCCTGCGGGGTACTGGCGCCGCCGTGCTGCTATCCCAAAGCTGGCTAAAGAGGCTGGCGTCGGCGAGGATGTGGCTTATGAATGGCTAACAAAACAGGCCATCTGGCAGATCTACTTGCCCGCACCAGCGCAAAGTGCTATCCCCCGACCTAAATTTGACATCAGCACCCCAAATGAGGTCCACCAGGCCGATCTCTTGTATCTGCCTCATGATCGAGTCGGAATACGCACATTCAAATACACACTGACGGTCGTCGACGTAGCAAGTCGGTATAAGAGGCCCAGGCAATCACAGACAAGACAGCCACCCATGTTGGGAAGGCATTAGAGTCCATTTATGCCCGTGGGCCTGTTCGATGGCCTAAAGTTTTACAAGTCGACCCTGGCTTGGAGCTCCGTGGGGCTTTGCAAAAAGCGTGTGAAAAAAGTGGTGTCACGATTCGACGGGGTAGGGTCGGAGTTAATAGAGATCAGGGAATCGTAGAAATATTTAACCGAACATTGGCGGAGCGATTGTTCGGTTACCAGTATCATCGCGAGCTGGCTGTGCCTGAACTCGGAAAAAAGAATGGGTATCACGATTACCTGAGGTGGTTAAAGCGCTCAATAATGAAACTACTACTTTGACGGGCGAAAAGCCTTCCCTTGTGATTCGGAAGAAGAGCGTTAAGGCCAAACCCGCTGCTCCCGCACTTCGTCAAGTTGGTTTCAATGAGCAACGCTTGCCATCGGATGTTATGTTGCGGTATTTGTATGCACCCGGAGAACTCGAGGGTGGCGAACGGCGTAGGGTGACCAATCCAACTGGAGTGTGACCTCCCAGCAGGTTGAGCGGGCTGTGGTTGAGGGTGGGAAGCCTGAGTTGTAGTGCTCGCCGAAGATCTGATGCCCGTTACTGCGCAGCATATTCATACCGTGGCGGAAGCACTTTGCTTCAAAGAGCGCCTCTCTGTACCAGGCATGACTGATATTCTTTTTCACGACAGCTTTTTTAACACCTTTGGCTTTGCGCTCCTCCAGACCATCGGCTTTCAGGATAGAGTACATCTTGGGCCTGAGTCCCACAAACTCGGCGATAGGCGCCCCAGCGCACTCGTCCTTCATTTCCCCAGCACCGTCTTGTTAGCTGTGCTAGACAGCGGATGGTCTTTGGGATAGTTGCTGGTGTTGTACTGACCGGCGTTGCGTCTCATGTCGGCGTGCACGTCCTCAGTCTGAATCTCCAGCACAAGGCTGTCGGTGTCGGTGTAGAGGAGCTCTGCTGACGACCCGTACTGCACCTTGAGATAGTGGTAGTACCAGTCGTACATCAGATGCTTGGAGAGGTCGAGAATGCTCATGCCCACGAAGACTGGCTGGTTGAGCAGCAGACTGCTTTTATCCATGTGAACGGCTGCAAGGTCTCCCGCATCTCCAAAGATGAAATGCCGATTGAATGTCGGCTTGGCGATAAGTTTGCGGAGTCTCTCGGTCTCGCTTGACCGGAGCAGCTTCACATCGACACGCTTTCGAAGGTTCTCCATCGTCTTGCCGAAGACACTGTTGTTCAGCAGCTTGTAGAGGTTGAATTCAAAGTCACTCTTTGCCTTCTTCCGGAGTTCAGTGTTTTTCCGGATGTAGGGCTCCATCCATGGGCTTTGATCGAAGCGGAGTGCCCTGTGGATCTTTTTCAGGCGCATGCCAAGCTGCAGATAGAGCTGCAGACTCCGATAGTGCAGGACGTATCGGGTCTTGTCGCGCAGATTGGGGACCAGCTTTTCGACCTCGTGAGACGCACCCCCATACATCTGTTTGAGGATATTTTGCTGGTAATCTGACATCCACGCGTTGTTGACCTTCAGGCGTTCTGGCGCTAACGGATAAGCATTGTGCTTGTCGTGCAGCTCTTCTGGGTACTCCAGATCAACTTCGAGAATGTAGCCCTTCTCTGCATCTGCAGGCTGGTTCAGGGCCGCCTTCGCGTCCTCTTGGGCGACCCACTCGAACGCGCCTGTTGGCAGTGGCTGCGACATCGCCCAGCCGTACAGGTTATTGGCGTCGTAGTACTGGATCCAGCTTCGGGGCTTCACGGATCGTAGTCTGGCACCTTGGGGTTGTTGGCCTTGGCGAAGCGCCTGCAGGCCATGCTGATGCCACCGCGCTGGCCCTTCTCGATGAAGAGATGCATGTCGATGTCGGTGAGCAGCTCGAGCTCTACCCCTGTGTGCTTGAGGAGAGCGTCCCAGCTTAGGCCCGGGCTCGTGTAATAGTAGGCCAAGTCTAGCCGGTATTGCTCGAGGCACAGCTTTCGGAAGTTCTCGAAGACGTCGGCGAGGAGGAGGACATCGGCCCGGAGGTAGCGGTCGTGGTAGTCGCCGAGGTTTGTGCAGCCGAAAGTGTCCCAGACCCTTTTTCCGTGGGCGTAGTCGCCGTTGGTGATGCCTTCTCCGGGGAGCCGGCTGTATAAAGCCTCCTTCGGTGGAAGGGCCTCCTCGTCGAATCGGGCCAGCCGTCCATGTACTCGTAGGGGTGGATCCCCTTGCGGAGCAGGAGGGTACGTTTCTGGGGGTTCGGCTCGTAGTCCGCTGTGATGCGCATGTCTCGTGGGTTGCTTGCTTTCACCAGGACATCCAGGCTTCAGAGCATGAATTGGGCGCTTTCGATGAATCGGAGCTGGCTGATGCTGAACGAGATGTATTTCTCGTCGTTTTGGGGGATGCAGGTGACCTTCCCTTCAGTCTCTGCGATATTCTGCATGATGAGATGGCTATCGTAGCTCCGCAGGTTGTGGAAGTCAACTGGTATGGTTGTCGTCTTTCAGCTGAGTCGCAACTTCAGGTTGCACGCATTGTGGGCCACACCTCGGTACTTCCCAGTAATGTGGCAATAGTCTCGCACGGAATCGCTTTCGAGGAGCTTGCTACAGATGTGACAATTTGTGGCTTTCTTGTGGCTCACCCAGTCCTTTCCTGTCATGTGCATAAGCTCGGGGTTCGCCAACACCGTCTTGATCTTACGCTCTTCTTCTTGGAGCGCTTTCAGAAAATGCTTGGCCGCGTCGGGCCCTCGGTAGAGCTGCGGCGCCTGCGTTTCCCCGTCGGAACGAAACACTGTGTACGAGTAGCCACATGCCTGGTGCCTGGAGGTTTGGTGGGTGCCGCTTTTTTCAGGGTTAAGCGCGGGGCCCTCAATTTTGCAGATCAGACTCTCGAAGTCGACGTGGATTATGAACGGCGCTTTGAGCTGCTTGTGGTATTTCTCAAAGCGGATTTTGTCGTTTCTTCCGGGGGTTGGCATTCTGATGGCAACTGCGGCCTGGTTGATGCCTCGACATTCATGCTTATGCTCTTCCAGCAATTCTTGCCTGGTGAAGCCGTGAAGGCAACGCTCACAGAAGTGCAGCTGATGGTGGCCGCTCTGGTTGAGAAGGCGGTCGAAGTTCTTGATACAGGTGTAGTGGTATTTCTCAGGATCATTTGGATCCGAGACGAGGAAGAGATTCACAGTCTTGCGAGCTCTCTCTACTTTGCTCAGACGGCAAGGAACGACGCCGCCTTCCCACCTGTACACGGTGATAGCAAGGTCGTTCTGACGCTCTACACGTTCGAGCTGGGAGAGGGGTGCGGGTGCGCTCTCCCCCGCAAAGTCAAGGCCGTCTTCAGTGGGATACTTGCCCGGCCTTTGCGGGTGTTTAGCTGCGGGAAACAGCGCAGCCCTTAGAGACCAGCGGAGGCAGTCGTCGTCTTTGTTTTTCACGTTGACGATTGCCTTCTTATTCTTGACAGCGGTGGGGAGAGGAAGGTATGAGCCTCCGCGTAAAGGCTGGTAGTGAGTGATGTCAAGCCAGAGTGTTTCGACACGACCCACTATCCACCAAGACCCCTTTCGAGTGTACTTTTCCAGTCTCTCCAGAATTGTTCGGAAGGCATCATGTAGGGCTTGCGGAATCTCATGCGACAGTGGCAGCGTGATATGCTTTGTCCGGAGCACTGGTGCTTGAAGCACTTCAGTACCATTTGCTTCATCCTTCCGAAGCTCAACCTTTACAGCCAACTGAAACTTAACTCCTCGTAGAGCTAGTAGCTCCTCGACGACTTTGCGTTTGATTTAGGGCTGGGCGCTTTTGAGAAAAGCCATCAAGTCGCGTTTGGAGGGGTGTCCCTTCGGCACCTGCATTTAACAGGCTCTCAGATTATAGCTGAAGGCCTTCGTTTCATCTCACTTGTGGGGCGTCGTGGTTTAAATTCAGCCAGAAGCTTATCATCGGTAGGCTCGGCGGGCTTGCGCTTGCGTGGTTTGGGGATAGGCTTGCGCTTGCGTGGTTTTAGGATAGGCCTGCGCTTGCGCGGTTTGGGGATAGGCCTGCGCGGTTTGGGGATTGGCGTTTGACGAGCCTCAAGAGAGTCATGCAGCGCGTCTCCGCTGATCACACCTTGTATATATAACTCTATTATATCCTTAACAATAACATCCATCTCGACTGTTACAATTTTTAGGGTATACCCTATGTGAGATAAATCTCTAAATCGAAATTAATTCGGCGAGTACTCTAGCAATCTCTTTTTTGCTTGTTTCTCCGCATAAACGAGCTTATGATGCACCCTATTCGCACCGCAGGCTTGACAAAAGATAGTTTCTGCCTGTGGTCCGACCCCACATTTACGACATGGTTGTGGAAGTCGCTCGCCTTCCCTTAACCGCCTCATATGAAGTCCGCAGTATTCACCTATGGAGCTTCGCCCACATGTGGTGAACTTTACGGGTAAAGCTCCTGTCAAACGCAGGACATCCTGCCGTTGTCCTGGGTTTGACATTCGCTGTAATTATGCTTGTATACGTAGGCGAACTAGGGCTGGGGTGCTTTTATTTACGTATAATAGGTATCAAACTGTTAGGTGGGCCATAAACGACTCTCTGTATACTACTAAAACACAGATTTTATATTTTGGTTCTGAAACTGAAGTCATTCAATTGTGTTAAAGTAAATCTAGTGTCAACTTCACACTTTTTGCTAATTTTGAATGTTGTGCTCAGTCCATTTCATTATCATTATAGCCACGTCAACTTTAGGGGAAAGATAGAATTACTCTTGAGGAATTAAATGATCATGATTGCAAAGATTTTTTATCTCCTTCAATAAAAAGGTATGATGAACGCTTCCCATCATTTAATTGAGTTAAATCAATGATAACATACGTACGTCGTAATATGTACGTAGTAGTAGGTCTTCAACAAACATTTGGTTGGTGTTTTAAAGCCGACTAATCAACTGCTATAAATTTAAGAATTGACAAAAAAGCTTGCATCATGATAGCTGCCAACTTTCATAAGGAATTATTATATGTATGCACTATGTAATGAGCTCATTCAAACGTAAAGTTATAATGTATCAGAGAGGGAGTTTCAGCTCCACATATGAACTTAGGAAAATTGTTGCGTGGTTTATTGGTGCGACCTTCCTAGGAGTGGGCATGCTCCCCCAGGAAAATTTTCAAATTTGATTGCAGAAAGCGCCTGTGTTTTTGTTGTTGATTTCAATGATTGCACAATGCTAACATTAAGCCATTCAAATTGTATTTTGACTGGTTTTCCTCTGCATTACAATTTATTGGAATTCCCAAAACACAATAAAAAACAATTTATACATGGGAGGCTTGGCTTTTACAAACCTAACCTACAATAATACATTCATGCTCTGCTAACTCATTTATGGATTCATTTTTCATCGGTTCATCTAAAATTTTTATGCAAGATTTTATTTAACTGAAATGAACTGAGTGTCAACAGAAAGAAATGTCAAAAGATAGCACAAAGGTAACATTGCTTAGGTTATTGAACAGTTAAATTATAAACAAGTATATATCACAATCAAGAAACTAAAATGCCAACTCAGTTTTGCTTATATGGCTTTTTCAAATAAATCCATAACATCTTCAATATCTGTTTTGTTGTCAAATAATTCAATGATGTTTTAAAGAGTGCTGTAGCTAGCATTTTCAGTGAAGGGGGGCCAGTCAAAATCGAAGGACCGTTGCTGTCGTTTTAATAATATAATATATGTAAAACATAACATTGGAGGGAGGGGTGACAAGAATTTTGCTGTGGTGCTCAGGCCTCCTCTGACAACATCACCTGTTGTAAGCTCTTATTTGAATAACCAGGCCATTAAGAACTACACAAAGAAATAATTTGTTATGCCTAGACTTAAATTAAAGTCAGGGTAATATATTACACTGAGTGTAGACATAACAAACTACTCTACTTCTTAACATTTTGTTTAGTTAAAGCAGCTATGGTCATAAGCAAATAATATTCAAACATCTCCATATTCTTCTTCGGGTTTAACATTTGGAGAGTTCTAGAAATTTCTGGCAAACAAATATTACCTAGTGCATGAAGCATATATATCAACACCATCATAAATAGAAGCATAGGATTACATTTGATTGGAGGATTTCATTTGAAAGTATTATGGTGATCTTGAATAATTTCATTTTAACATTAATTAGGTGCATGAATATCCCATTAGGTACCTTTATTGTATAAATTTTACTTTGTTCCCTGTGAGCTCTCATACGTTGTCACCATTCCATTAGAATTCTTTACTACATTAAGGCCCTGTTTTTTTGTGTCTTAGGTACTCTGACATTTCCACAGTGTAATTTATTAATATCATAAAGAATTCTTAACGTAACCTCCACATAAGGAAATTTCAGATGGTAAATAAAATAATTTACCAACGAAGTAAATTCAGACTCTTAATATGAAGTGTTCACCTGTTAAGTTTACTTGCATAAGTTGTGCTTCAAAGCTTACATTATAGTATACATAGTACGTTATTTATGGCTATGACTGTAAAACATTTATGAAAAATTTTCTCAAAACTCCTTTATAGTTGCTGGCAATATAATGTTTTTAAAACAAATCCATTAACTCTACAATTAAAGCTGATGTTTGTATTGTAGTTTGTCATATTCATATCAACTGCTATACATTAAACACGCTATCATGTTAAATAAGCATGTTGACTATGCCATCATGTACGTCTTATTTAGATATGCTTTGCTAAACTTTCGTTCTTTGCATAAACCAATGGTCTTTACTTATGCTGGCATGCAAAATTTGGCGTAGATTTTTTTTCGGGAAATATAGCTAAACACCGAGATCGATATATGATCCATTAAAGCATCGTTTGTATGGAAAATTTTTACTTTTAGAGAATTCATCCTCTCTTTGCAGAATTATATTATAAACGTTTTTTTCTTTGTGGACTGTCTTAGTGAATGATAAGAGAAACGTATATTCACCATTGTGGACTGTCTTAGTGAATGATAAGAGAAACATATATTCAGCATTGTGGACTGTCTCATTGAATGATAAGAGAAACATATATTCAGCATTGTGGACTGTCTCAGTGAATGATAAGAGAAATGTATATTCAGCATTGTGGACTGTCTCAGTGAATGATAAGAGAAACATATATTCAGCATTGTGGACTGTCTTAGTGAATGATAAGAGAAACGTATATTCAGCATTGTGGACAGTCTCATTGAATGATAAGAGAAACATATATTCAGCATTGTGGACTGTCTCAGTGAATGATAAGAGAAATGTATATTCAGCATTGTGGACTGTCTCAGTGAATGATAAGAGAAACATATATTCAGCATTGTGGACTGTCTCAGTGAATGATAAGAGAAATGTATATTCAGCATTGTGGACTGTCTCAGTGAATGATAAGAGAAACATATATTCAGCATTGTGGACTGGCTTAGTGAATGATAAGAGAAACGTATATTCAGCATTGTGGACTGTCTCATTTAATGATAAGAGAAACATATATTCAGCATTGTGGACTGTCTCATTGAATGATAAGAGAAACATATATTCAGCATTGTGGACTGTCTCATTGAATGATAAGAGAAACATATATTCAGCATTGTGGACTGTCTCATTGAATGATAAGAGAAACATATATTCAGCATTGTGGACTGTCTCAGTGAATGATAAGAGAAACATATATTCAGCATTGTGGACTGTCTCAGTGAATGATAAGAGAAACTTATATTCAGCATTGTGGACTGTCTTAGTGAATGATAAGAGAAACATATATTCAGGATTGTGGACTGGCTTAGTGAATGATAAGACAAACATATATTCAGCATTGTGGACTGTCTCAGTGAATGATAAGAGAAACATATATTCAGCATTGTGCACTGGCTTAGTGATTGATAAGAGAAACATATATTCAGCATTGTGGACTGTCTCAGTGAATGATAAGAGAAACGTATATTCAGTATTGTGGACTGTCTTAGTGAATGATAAGAGAAACATATATTCAGCATTGTGGACTGGCTTAGTGAATGATAAGAGAAACATATATTCAGCATTGTGGACTGGCTTAGTGAATGATAAGAGAAACATATATTCAGCATTGTGGACTGTCTTAGTGAATGATAAGAGAAACATATATTCAGCATTGTGGACTGGCTTAGTGAATGATAAGAGAAACATATATTCAGCATTGTGGACTGTCTTAGTGAATGATAAGAGAAACATATATTCAGCATTGTGGACTGTCTTAGTGAATGATAAGAGAAACATATATTCAGCATTGTGGACTGTCTTAGTGAATGATAAGAGAAACATATATTCAGCATTGTGGACTGGCTTAGTGAATGATAAGAGAAACATATATTCAGCATTGTGGACTGTCTTAGTGAATGATAAGAGAAACATATATTCAGCATTGTGGACTGTCTCATTGAATGATAAGAGAAACATATATTCAGCATTGTGGACTGTCTTAGTGAATGATAAGAGAAACATATATTCAGCATTGTGGACTGTCTCAGTGAATGATAAGAGAAACATATATTCAGCATTGTGGACTGGCTTAGTGAATGATAAGAGAAACGTATATTCAGCATTGTGGACTGTCTCAGTGAATGATAAGAGAAACGTATATTCAGCATTGTGGACTGTCTTAGTGAATGATAAGAGAAACATATATTCAGCATTGTGGACTGTCTTAGTGAATGATAAGAGAAACATATATTCAGCATTGTGGACTGGCTTAGTGAATGATAAGAGAAACATATATTCAGCATTGTGGACTGTCTTAGTGAATGATAAGAGAAACATATATTCAGCATTGTGGACTGGCTTAGTTAATGATAAGAGAAACATATATTCAGCATTGTGGACTGGCTTAGTGAATGATAAGAGAAACATATATTCAGCATTGTGGACTGTCTTAGTGAATGATAAGAGAAACATATATTCAGCATTGTGGACTGTCTCATTGAATGATAAGAGAAACATATATTCAGCATTGTGGACTGGCTTAGTGAATGATAAGAGAAACATATATTCAGCATTGTGGACTGGCTTAGTGAATGATAAGAGAAACATATATTCAGCATTGTGGACTGTCTTAGTGAATGATAAGAGAAACATATATTCAGCATTGTGGACTGGCTTAGTGAATGATAAGAGAAACATATATTCAGCATTGTGGACTGTCTTAGTGAATGATAAGAGAAACATATATTCAGCATTGTGGACTGTCTTAGTGAATGATAAGAGAAACATATATTCAGCATTGTGGACTGTCTTAGTGAATGATAAGAGAAACATATATTCAGCATTGTGGACTGTCTCATTGAATGATAAGAGAAACATATATTCAGCATTGTGGACTGGCTTAGTGAATGATAAGAGAAACATATATTCAGCATTGTGGACTGTCTCAGTGAATGATAAGAGAAACATATATTCAGCATTGTGGACTGTCTTAGTGAATGATAAGAGAAACGTATATTCAGCATTGTGGACTGTCTCAGTGAATGATAAGAGAAACATATATTCAGCATTGTGGACTGGCTTAGTGAATGATAAGAGAAACATATATTCGGCATTGTGGACTGTCTCAGTGAATGATAAGAGAAACATGTATTCAGCATTGTGGACTGTCTCAGTGACTGATAAGAGAAACATGTATTCAGCCTACAACAAGCATAGACAAGGGATATTTGCTGACTTTCTCACGACACCGCTTGCATATTTTAACAAAAACACTGGCTCGTTAGTCGGCACAACGGCAATAAACGAATCAGGAGAGAGACTTTAGTCACCAAATTTCAGGCGTGCTGACTCAGTGTAGGTTAGCGCTGGGTAATACTCCCGCAGGCAGTTGGAACTATGTTTAGTACTTAACCTGCATCAGGTGTAAGAAAAGTAGTTTTTGATTAATTAGGAAGTCACAAAATCGCGCTAAATTTGACAAAAAAGGAATTTAACTAAGTCGCGCGGTGAATGCGACGTAGTTTGAATTCCCTCTCGCTGTACCAGTAAAGGTAAAATGATTTGTTTAAGTTAATTATCAAACAATACGTTGGAGTGAAAATTTGAATCATTATGTTCAACACGTTTATAAAACTATGCAAAACATCTTACTTCTAGCAAGTTAAGTTGTATATTCATTATAAAGTGTAGTCAATTTGCTACGACTTGTGAATGACGCGTATAGCTTTATGTTATCGATATGTGCAGGACAGTGTTATAATGGTTTCAGACATGCATTTGATGTTGGCAAAATCACGTTGTATAAACGTTGTATTAACGTTCATCCAACGTTTACACAACGTTGAGGTCTGACATTGTAGGTAAATAAATAATAGATAATTGTAATCGATACTAAATTTATGGAAGAACGGAAATAGGAACCTTATGAAAACCTATATTAGTCGTCACACGTAAAAGTTGTCAGTCTTCTTTCTGTTGCTGGCTGTGAATGTAAAAGCTTGAAATGTTTATTTGTGATGTAGAATAGTTACATTGGATTAGTTATATGTAAAATTAAAAATTGTGTGTCGACTGCGCATTAAAATTGGATAGCATACAGTCCCAAAAACGAATCGGCAGACGCATAACTGCTTTGTGCTAACGCGAAAAGAGAAAAATTGCTGCACACATTGAGTAAACTTTCTGAACTCGTAGGAAACGTGTAACGACGTTAAGATTAATGTTGGGATATAACACATTTTCAATGTTTATCTTACGTTTATCTAACATTCGTACAACATTCATAAAACGTTCCTATTTTATATGTATAACACATTGCTCGAATTTTACTTGTTATGGATTTTTACTCTCCTCACATTTAGCCACCGTATGCATGAATGCAAGTTATCGCTTTGCATCAAAATTATACCTATGTAAAACAAAAATAATCCAAATGTATGAGTTCACCTTTAAATTTCTGTAGTTGCTGTAACGAGCTCAAAAAAATGCAAAGCGTATATAATTATATTTTTAACACAGAACTTTCGATCGATCAATGCTTTATAGTTTATACCTCATAACTTGCACAACTAGCGAAGACTAACTTCCAAAATACAACGTCATAATCTAATAACAAACAACAATACTTTAGTTCAACATCAGCTCACCATACACACGGTTGTGTTTTTTCATGGTCAACCTTCAATTTATTTGATTTCTTTTTCACTGCTTTTGTGTGGCTATCATATGTATAGTATAGCTACCATGGAAAGGAAGAAAATTTTTATTCATATTCTAAAACGCCGCGAATAGCACCTCGAATTAGTCCAGCAAATGTGCCACCGAAGAAAGAATTAACCACGGGCAGATATGTCTGCATGCTATTTAAAAAGAGAATGCATTCCGAATTTTCCAAGTAAGCTAAGACATTGCGTGCTCGGCAACGTTCAAAATCTCGACAGTTTTCATCAAGCTCAATTTTCAGTGACCACTCAGATTTTGTACCGGGAGATTTTCTTGTGAACCAAGAAATGAATAAAAATGAATACTACTATTCTTCTTTCGATACACTTTTAGTTAGACTCGATCTTTGCAAGGACTGAGTTTAATGCAACCAAATTGACGGATACCTACTTATTTTACTTCTAAAAAAAGAAAATTATAACTTTGTTAACTTTGTGTTTTCTATAATACGGTGTTTTATTTATCAATTGCAATTTTCAGACAGTGTTGAAAAATAATTTTGGACAATATGTCTTGAAATGATCTAAGTTAATGAAGTTCTTCTATTTTCTAAAAAGTATTATTTAGTATTTTAAAAGTGACTCATAAGTATTGCATTTTAAGATCTTTTGCTGTAGCTCTGATATTCATTTTTTGTCGTGAATGTGTAAATCTCATTATAGAATTCATCATTCTAGATTTTGAAATGATGACTGCTTCAGAGAGCTCAGAAGACAAAGCAAATGCGTTTAAGTTGATGAGATTAATTGTTGATCTTGGTGGTGAGGCTTTGCGAATCACATTAAAAAAACAACTGTCAGGTATTGATTTATTTCTTGTCTTATATAACCCTACAAATAAGGCAAAACTTTCGAAATTAAAGAATAAACTAATTGGTCAAGAACAGTGGAATTTACTTTATCCTAGTCCTCCAACATTGCCAAATGAAAATGATTTTGACATTACTTTACTTTATATTCTCCTGCGCAATATTTGCAATTTAAAACCACCGAATGATTCAATTTGGAAAAACATTCCTAATCCTACTGATCATTCAACTGAAGCAGATATTACCCGTATCAGGTTATTTCGCAATGATCGTTTCGCTCACTTACCTAACACTTCAGTAAGCTTTGATGACTTTCAATGTTTTTGGGTGGAAATAACGAACCATTAGTTCGCTTAGGAATAACTCAGGGAGATATAGATCGATTGAGAAATGCAGAATATGTTTTGTCAAAAAAACTTGTGAGTTTCAACTTTGAGAGTGAAATTACGCATCACTATGAACAATTTTTAGAAGGAACGCGGGAATGGGTTTCTGATGAGTTTTTAGCTTGGTTCGATTGCGATACATCCAGAAATCGTGCATTTGTTATTTCCGCTGCTGCCGGCATGGGTAAATCTGTAATTGCAGCTACCTTGTGCAAACGTTATCCTCAATATTTGAGTGCAGTTCATTTCTTTCAACACAACAACAGTCGTTACAATAAAGCCATTACACTTCTTCAATCTTTACCTTTTCAAATTGCTCATACTTTTCCTGCTTATCAACAGCTTCTTGAAAAAAAACTTTCTGTTGAACTCTCTGAGTGTTTGGGTAGCATGAAAATAGAAAAATTATTTACCTTGCTTTTCACTGACTTGTTTTCCGAAATCTTGACACCTCCCAAGCGAATTCTAATTGTGCTAGATGCTCCTGATGAATGTGGTTATCCAGAAAGAGATGACCTTACCAACTTGATTGTTAATCATTTGCACAAACTTCCACATTGTTTTCGCTTTGTAATTTCAACAAGACCCAACGAAGTTTCTTTAAACACGTTCGAAAAATTAAATCCGCTATTTATTAAATGCAGTGATGATCGCAACTTGAACGACATTAAATTATTGGTCGATGAAAGAATTGGCTCTTCTGACAGTCTTTTAGATCTAAAAAATGATTTAGTAGACAAAGCCGACGGACATATGTTGCTTGCATCTCTTCTCTGCAATGAAGTTAAGAATCAAGGTTTGTCGAATGCATCCATACCAAAAAATTTAGATGAATATTATGAAACCTACTTAAAACGGTTAGGTAAAGAATTAGAGTTGTTTAAAATAGAGGAGGAAAAATTTCTGTCAGCATTAGATGCCTTGGCGGTTGCCAAAGAACCTCTTCCTTGGAAGATAATTGAGGATATACTTTGTTTGAATTCAACTTGCATATCCATCAAGGTTAGAAAAATTATCTCTTGTCTGTTTGTCACTAATAAAGAAGGGTGTGTTTCTTTTTTTCACAAATCTACAACTGATTGGTTGTTGGTTGATTGTGAACATGATTATTCGGTAAAAACTTCTTTGGGTCATCTACTTGTTTTAGAATTTTGTTCAAAAACTTTGGATGATGTCATAACTCTCAAAGTAAATTTTGACATCATTCAGCATGCTTCATTAAGGTATTCAGTTAATTATTGGTTGCCTCATATGCTTTCTGCTCGTGATAATGATTGTATCGTTAAAAATGTTTGTAAATATCTTGTTGACTTGGAAGTTTTAATTGCTTCTATATTTGTTGATTTTAGTCAGACTTGTGAAAATTTTAAGTTATTTATCGCACATGAGACGTACTTTCATCTTTCTGAGGACACTCGACTATTATTTAATGATCTTTATAGTTTACTATCGTGGAATGAATGGTTTGACAATGAAATAATTTTTTTGCTAAACGTTGTCAACCAAATAAAAGATCTTTCGTCCCAAGCCACCACAATGCTTCAAACACGTTTCAAAGACTCCCCATATTTAGAGAGCAGAGACACATGTTTTGGAAAGGCGCTATTATTACGTTTGTTTCATTCTTTGATTTCAATCGATGTTTCATGAAGTCATGATTACGTCATCTGTGGTTATGAAGGGTTTATCGTTCAACTTTTTTCATTGAAAACAAACAGGTGTTTATGGATAAAAAACTTAGCTAGAGAGTTAGAGAAAATTGAATGTAAAGAATTCTGCATTGTCTTTCATCCTTTTAAAGATTCGATTTTCGCTTCCCAACTTTATAAAGTACTAGATATTAATGGTAAAATTTCCTCTAGTCCGCTCCATTGTGATGATTCTACTTCTAAGTTCTTTACTAACAAATGTTTTTCAAAGGATAAGTGCACAATGGTCACTAGTTACAAAGATACTTTGACAGTATGGGACGTTAAGAAAGGTGAGAGGAAGCGCAGTATAAGATGTAGTAATGTGGCCTCGCTTTGTTTTTCTAATTCAGAAAAGTATTTAGGTGTTATAGCTGTTGTTGATGAAGAGAAGAAAAGAAGTGTATTTCGAATTTTGATGTAGAGAATAATTATAAAACATTTATTTGCGACGATCATTTGCCTCTCGATAAGATTGGTATTATGTTCACTGTTGGTCTTCATTCTTGGTGTTGTAGTGCTTTTTCTTCAAGGTCTCACATTGAGAAACTTTTTATTGTAAATCCCACTGATGAGAAACTTCCTGACTTAAGTCTTGTTCCTGAAGTTTGTTGGTATCCACTTGATCCCTTGGATGACAACATATCAAGCTTTTGTTTAAAAGGTCCTGGAATGTATTATTTTATTTTGAGTGACGACTTTGTTCTTCTTTTCGCTTACGGATGTGACTTTTATCTGTGTTCAATAGCAAGCGTACTTTTGACTAACACTTACAATTTTCATAACGAGAATTTTTGCTCAAATGAAAACTTTCTGTATCAGAGAGATGAAGAAAACTCGATGTTAGTTTCATACAATCTCAACACATGTGACTTTTTTGTCAGGGAAAGTCTTTTTAGGGACATGGTCGCTGTAGGAATGGGAGTCATTTTGCTTTCGGCAGAAAATATTCCTGAGCTTTGGAATAATGATTTGACAAAACTTCTTTGCAGTTTCGATGAACTAAAAGGTACAAACTCGTTTTTTGAGGTAAGTGATTTATCAATTGCTTTCAAAAACAGATTCTCTTGTGTTTTCAACATAGAAAACAAGCGAACAGAAATATCAATAAAATTTGAAAATTATCAAAATGTGCAAGTGCTTGCCTGTAGTTCTAAGTATCATGTGTTTGCTAAAGTAGAGTTTGAGGAGGAAACAATATATTATATGTGGCATGAAGATAATCTAGTAAATAGTTGGGATGACATGATTCAGAGGGAAATCACTAGAACCATACAAGATAAAGAACTAGATGATTGGGATGATATAATCCAGGAAGAAATGACGAGCAGCATGGAAGATGCAGCACTAGATGGTTTGGATGACCTATCCCAGAATGAAATCATGCTAAACATAGAAGAAGAGTATTCACCTTTCTCATTAGCTGGTAAAATTGATTTCGCTAATTTTTCACCATCAGCAGATAAATTATTAATTAGTGACAAAGAATTGTACGTGAAAGTATTTGACGTTGAAAAAATACAACTTCTGTATAATTTACCTGGGGATTTCTTTCTTGCTAAGTATTTCTTTTTGGATGACAGATTTATAATTGGTGATTATAGGTTGATTGATTTGAAATTCTTTAAGAATGTTGAATTAAAGTACCCGCTTTTGAGCTCCTTTCCTAGAACTTTTTATTTCTGTCATAAACGCAAACTTGTTTTATTTTCTTCTGGCATAGACGTCCTGGTGAATTGTGCAAAACTTATCTTGTCACAAGAATAAACTTCATGTTTCAATGTAAAAATTCTCGGTATGCTTTATTCATGACATACATCTTAATGACACTATCTTAAAGATCATCACATTTTGTTCGCTATGATGCTTATTGTTAAATGATATTTATTATGTAACTAATAATTTTCACACCGTTTGTTCTTCATTACAGGGAGGGCAGAGACGGGCTTGGGCAATAACTTGCCTCAACTTAAAATTTTTGAAAATTGTCCTCGGATCACCAACATGCAACCAACTTTTAAGGCGTTAACGATCGATACACCTACCCTCCCCCCCCGCTCCTCCCAATAAAAAATATGCTTCATGGTACCTGCATCATACGTAAATTCAATTTCAAGAACGCATGTGCCAGTGAAAAATATTCAATATCAACCATATAAATCTGAGATAATTTAATTAAAAAAGAAAATTGAATAAGAATGTTAAATAACAGTGGAAAAATTATGAAGAAACAACATAAGTTTATTTAAAAAAAATTATTTTATGCCAAACTCAAGCTCGTATAACATGTGAACTAGTGAGAGTTTTTAATGAAAATAATACTCAGCATTGTTAGTCTATGTACTTCTACGTTCGCAATATTTTATGTAAGGTCTCACTGTGTTAAGCATCGTGGAATGAACTTTTGCATATATTGAATATTTTGGAATAGTACAAAACACTAGTTCGCATGTTATATGATTGCGTGATAAGATGAAAGTCATTAAAAGTAGTTTGTCGGCTGATTAAAATTATGTTCTTTGATGGAAAAGTCATCTGTGTTTTTGGTTGTTCTTTACTGTTATGATGAGTTTCCAACTTAAATGGACTAATGTCATTTTTTATGCATGATCCCTCAAATTGTTGTTATTTCAACTAATTTATGTTTACAATAAAACGTCAATCCAGGTGTATGATTTCATGAGACGAACTTTGTCTAACTTTGATTGCTCTATACAGAAACCACTGTTTGATGATAATGTCAAAATGTTGCATGGAGATCATGCATAAAAACTAAAATCAATCAGTCAAAACTGGACATTTATTAACCATAATAAATGACTTAACAAAGAACACAAATGACGTTTGCGTCTTTATGATAGTAACTTACTACTTATTTAGCTACAGCACTTATAACAATGCAGTTAATATACAATATAACACTTATATCGACTTTTATTTTATCACGCAAACAAATAAAATGCGAACTAGTGTTGCATGGTTATTGTACCATAGGTTATGTTTTGTTTATCCCCCATGTTAACATAATTTTTGTGTAAATGGTTCTTGCAGTGCAAAATGGTTTCAGTTTGCACGTTGCACGTTATTTGACATTATCTTTCACTAAAATCAATTTATTAGCAAATCAATCAATACTTTCTTGCACTAAAATCACACTTTAATACTTTTTGATTATTACATTTTGATATAGCTATAAAATATCTATTTAGTAAGTTGTTACAGAGACAATAACAGCCGAATAGATACGTCTCTTATATGAATACTTTCGCCTTTATCCATTTGAAAAACATCTGTTTATAATGAAGGAGTGATAGCTTTGCTAAGTGTTTTTAGAAAAACTAAAAACCTTGGGCTGACTTTACAACAATTTAAAAAGTAAATCGTAAACTCCACAAGAAACGTACTTCATGATTTACGTTCATCATCGTGATAAACAATTTAACCATCGTGGCTGAACACTTCAAACCATGTGTTACAAAAGTCAATAATGTCGAAAAAAGTTTGGCAATATAGGGAGAAAGAAAATAAAAGAGAATTGTTGCATATGAAAGAAGATTTAATTAAACCTTTTTAACTTTTTAATTTGTCATTAAATGAAAAACGGATGTCAAGGATTGTTAACGTTCGAACACTTACACTGTTTGAATCGATAGTTTATGGAAACTAATAAATGAGAATAGCTAAAAAATTCACAACACGAACGTCAGTGGACAAATTACGAGCTACTTCGCCAAATTTTGACATGTTCGTGGCATAAACGATGGTAAGAGAAGGAACACCTTTGTTTCAAAAAGTGACCTAATGAAAGATATCAGTAATTTGTGCACCATGGTCCTCTACAATTGGAAGATATGAGCTTTTAAAATTTTAAAATGGTGAAGCTAATTTACACTTTGTTCACTTTTTATAAATCTGAAACGTGAAAATTGTCTTTTCTTGCGGACGTTTTATGGTACTTTTAAATACAGTAAAGAAAATGTGAGCATATATATGTAGCCATGAGAGTGAATGAAAAGAATGTTATTTCATTGCAAAATGTTGGGGCCATTGGAGATCGTCGAGGGAAGTTTGGTTCTTGCATCGATACTCGAAGCGGCTTCTTGATCCAAACAAACTTATGACATTTGATTGCCTTTGTGTAGGCTGTAATATATATAAATTATACAACAACATGCCATGAAAATATAAAACAATTGCCAACTGTGGATGATTGTAGAATAAAGGTGGTTACGTAATTTCAACTTCTTTCTTTTTTAAGATTTCACATTTGTAATACCACTGTATTTTATTTTTCATATTTTGAACAGTTTTATTTAGTGTTTACTTCATATTGTTGTGTACATAGCTACGTGTAATGAATAGATATCTCTCAGAACATCTCGTAAATAGAAACTGTAAATAATATGATTGTAGTCTTGAGGGTGTCCGCTTACGAGACGTTCATTAAGATATGTTTTAAAAATTGTTTTTCTGCAAATTTGTTGCAATATATGTGTGTTGATTTATTATACTGAAGTGATTTTCATTATATCGCGTCTTAAATAATTTTCACGTCTGTCAATAGACGAATTTTCCTTTTATTTTCATATGGGTTGCACTAAAAAATTTAGTGGAGTGAGCTGGTGAGAAAGTAACGTAAGACACAGAAATTATCTAAATCTTAGGTGCTGTCGAGTAGTGTAGTCACCGAAGTCAGTAATGAGTCTAAAACGGTTGTCCAGAAAAGTTCCTTTCTATTTGTTTTGCAAAATATGGGAGGGAGGTTAATGGTAAATACATTTTAGAGGGGTGAAGAATTTATTCAAGGGGTTAAATCGGATGTTTGTATGAACCCAGAAAATCCGTCCATGCATTCGTCGTCTACACATATATCGAAATATGAATGAGAAGTATATGAATATCGTGTTCCTGCGAAATTTCTGTTTTTGTCAAGAACTTTCGTTCGTGTCTTCTATAATTCTTTAGAAACACAGAAACTGTTTTCTATTTCTTAAATGTATATTTATACGTAAATATAAACGTTAACGGACTGGTAGCGTTTACCACCGCATTCGATGTTTCTGTAATTTCTGTTGATAAGTGAGTTTTCTATAGCATTCAAAAGTTCATCATAATAAGCCTTCGAAACATAGTGTTTGTTTGTAGTAGAACAATTACAAGTTCTATCTTATTTTGCAAGTACGATATAGCCTATGTATTTGCAGTGTTCACCTTTCACCTTTCATGAATTTTTATGGTTCACCTTTGTCTTCATCTACGATTTTTTCATCATTTTTTCTCAAATCTGAATAGTAATAAAACAAAAGCAATCTTTGTTTGTGTCAGTAGCAACATCTTCATAATTTCAAGTACGGTTGAAACTTTTACTCTACTTTCAAGAGTAATACCTCGTAAGTTTTTTTCTTTTAAATTTGAATCTCTTCCCTCATCAATCGCCATCAGAAGATTTCCAGCAACAGCCAAAACTCCTTGTGGATGTCAATGTCATGGCCAAAATGTTTAGCTAACCAACCCAACTCGTGTTGATCCATGTCCACCAATTGTGAGACGGTTGCTACATATTTTCTAATGCTGTTCAAAAAATGACGTCCGGATTCTTGAGATTAACTATTTTGCATGCTAGATGGATAATGTCGTCACCTCGCAAAAGAATTTTTTATTGACCATTATTGATAGCGAAAACATAAGGATTTTGTTAGTTTATATTGCACGCTGTTCTATTTTTGTCGATGGTAACAATTGCCGCTTTTATGCATCTGGTGTAAGAAGAGCAGACACCTTTCTGTTTCTTTTCCCAATTATCTCTACCATATCTAATCTAAAATAGCAAATTAATATGTTATTATAAAGTGATCCACCAATTCACATCGGATGCATTGGTTACAATGAAATTGAATGTAGAAGAAGCAAAAATAGATGGCAAAGAAATTCTTGGTGTCTTATGAAAAATTAGTAGAAATCAATAAAAAGAATTTTTTAAACAAATTGTAAACAAGTTTAAATTGCTCATGGTCAAGCAACTTAATAAAAAAAAGCAAAGTCTGTCTTCAACATGTGAACTTTCCAATTATGTTTAGTTTCTTTGTACAAAATACTATTTTCGAGAAACTTGATTTGTAAGTCTTTCATTAATATATTTTTTTGCCAAGACATAAAAGGAACAAATTCAAAGGCTTGATGTAAAATACAAAGATTGATCAAGTTGTTTATCCCTTAATTACCTATTGTTAGTTTGTACATATAAATAATTAGTATTGGTAGCTGTAAGTTGTTCAAGCAAAACAGAAGAGTAGTAGTGCTCAAAATCTCAATTACCTTCAGATGTTGGATTATTAACATATACATCAAAAATAAGACCAGTTTTAGAGTATGCATCGGCAGTCTGGGCAGGACTTCCACATTTTTTACAGCAAGAAATTGAACGTGTACAAAGAAGAAGTTTAAAAATTTTACAACTAGACAAAAACTACTTGTCCTATTTGAAAAGCAGACGTGAACTAATAACTACCCAAGAGATCAAAAGGATTATGGAGGAACCTGATCATCCATGCAAATTTTTAGTACCTAAACCCAAAGAAAATTCGCACGAGTTGCGTAAAAGCAAAACTTATAGTATTTTATCCCGGACCAAACGTCATAAACAATTTTTTATTGCTAGATCTTGTAAATATATATATAATAAAGTTAACATGTAATTTTTAGTATAGTATGATAAATATATAGAAAATCAATGTAAATTCATCGTACTTTTTAATCTGAAGATGAATAATAAAAACCTTTTAAACATTTGATATAAACGACAACTATTTTGAAAATACACATGTTTCGACATCTCATGATGCCATCTTCAATATGAGTTTTCACTCATAAAAGTGTGAAAACTCATTTCAAAAAAGTTGTCGTTTATATTAAATTTGTATTGGTAATAGTGCTTTTACGAAATTATAAAAACCTTTTAATCATTTAATAATCATTAATCATTAATCAGGGTTAGCATTTTGAAAAATTATATCTTGTTCTTGACATACATTACAACTCCAAAAGACTGTAAGTATTGCACAACAATATCTATAGAACTTGCTAAATTTCTTCACCTACACTGTCAATTAACTATTTTGCCTTCATGCAGCAATAGACAGAGTGTTTTTGTCAGAGAACGCAATGCACTTTCCCAGTTTCAAAACTAGTTTCCAAGTTTGTATTTTAAAGGAAAATTAATGTAGTTCTATTCAGTAAGAGAGCCACGGTTCTGCCAAGCAGCTTACAAAATACAAATGTCCAACCAACAGTATCATCATGGTGTTTTGAGTTTTTTTCTTTTCGTAGCTCTTTTAGTTCAACATACTTTCTTCATGAGTTTTCAGTAGATTTATCAGGTAATGACAATACACTTATGATACTTATCCATGGTAAATTTTTATTTGACTCATGTCGTAGGACTAAAGCAAACATTTTCTCGCTAATTAGGAGCATTTTTATTCAGATATATCCCTTTTAGCAAGAAAAATAGTTGCACCAAACTGTCTACAAACAGTCAAACACACAGAAGCATGGAATAATGTATAAGTTTGACGAGATTTTCAGGTCTACTAAAAAATGCCATTCGATTTTTACTTTTAAAAGGTTAAATTATCGTAAAATAACTTAAATGCTACATCCAAAATATGCGTTTCTCTGCCGTCGATTTTCTTTATTTTGATATGTGTGTCTGTACTATTTTTTTCACGCAATTCTGAAGTATTATTTTCACATGACATGCTGTCGGTATCGTAATTGTTTTTTTTTTATTTGTTATCGTTGATATAAACCGTATTAGAAAATCAGGAGGGAGTGAATATGGAAAAAAAATTTTTAAAGTGGAAGTTTTGCCCACCAAAATCCGCCATTACCGCCATGTTTTTGACAACCTGGTCCAGTCCCCTTTTCCCCTCAAGGTCTTATAGAACTCAATGGTCTGTGTTTCTTAAATGACGTCACAAGTAAGTCCTATGCCACAGATTAGAGCTCTCTACATTTTTTCAAAACGTTGAAATTTAGGTTTTATTCTCATCTTTGCCGAAAGATAACTCAAAACGAAAAAAGTTATTCAAATTCTGTAAACGGCATTTGTATTATTTATCCAAAATCTATTTGAGAATAAAAAACTAAAAATAGTTGTACGTGCACTTTAATATAGTTCATTTTGCTAAACTGCATGTTGTAGTAAGTGTTTTGCCCATTTAAATGGACTTAATATTTACTCAATGGTCTTCATAGTAATTTGCGTCTGTATCTCTAAACGTAAACGCTGTAGCAATACTACGATAAAAATACATCGTCAAACTAACCTTCAGAGTTCTTTGCTGCAATATTTCCCGACCACAATGATCGTCGATTCTGATTTTGAATCTGAATCTGTTTGTGAAAGACAACTTTTTATGACTAGTGATCTCAAAAAGCCTTATAGATTCAATCAAATAACTTTAGAACCTTAAATCTAAATCGCTAAATTGCCAAATTCAATACTATCTAATTAAAAACATATACTTCAATTCATAAATAATTTTTAGATTTATTTTCGACTGTTTTATCCTTCTATATACCTATGCATATAACTTCTTTTTTACATTTTGGGTGATGAGGAAATATTTTATTACAATTCTTAATTTAATATACACTGCATAATTCTATTATTTTTATTTGAAAGCGACTAAGAAAGTCGATTTTTTCACTGGGATCTTGAGAGGTCTTTCAACGCAGTTAATCGCGTACTATATGTAAATTAGTTGAAAAGTATGTTTTATCGTGCGTATAAAATCAATCTATTAAAAGCTTTCTATGATTGTCAACAATTTTTGAGATAACGCTAATGAAAATACATTCGTGTTAAAATAGCAATTAGGAACTAGAACGAGACATACCTGAAGTTGAAGTTCGATTGGGATTCTATTAGCATCTACAGAGCAGATATTACACGAGGTTTAACGCATGCGCACATTGGTCGTATTTCAAATATAGTGGCCACATGAACCGCCTACATGTGCATATGAACAGTATGCGGGGAGGCATTAACATGATAGGTGGGCGTGTATTCTCTGCTATGTAGATGCTAATACAATCCCAATGGAACTTCAACTTAGGTATGTCTCGTTTAATTCCCCAATCTATTAGCATCTACCGCAGAGATCCCACCAGATTTGAAAGTCATGTGGACACAATTCATGCTTTACATACAAATCAAATACTACATTAAGTTATAAACATATTTTAATTGGAGATGTATCAAACATACCCAGAAATAACAAAATTTGAACTCAAAGTATTTCCTTTGCCTGCTCTATACATGCAAGAGTATGTGTTCTGAACTCCGTGCCAAGTTCAACTAAAGAAAACTCCCAACTAATATCTTTCTTATTGGGACGCTGAAAGAATGGCATTCCCAAACTCCGCATAGTCACGTTGAGACACAACGTTCTTATTGTAAAACGATGAAAAACGCAATCAGTCTTCCAACTTGCAGGATAGAGTTTATCGAAACATCACATTGCTTTGTTTTACTGGTGGGTGTGGCTTGTGCACTTTGTGGTTTGAATATTTCTATATCAATTCCTGCAGCTTGCATGACAACCTTCATCCAACGAGATAAAGACGACTTTAATACTTAATGAAAGGGTCAAATTGTGCTAAGAAATAGTTGCTTATCCTGACCACGAACGGGAGTAGAGCGTTTAGTATATTCTTCCATGATTGAGGCAACACATAATCGGTGATCGGCAGGGAACTTTCGTATCACTAAAGTAGGTTGAGTGCGCTTTGGTCCAGACAGTTTTACAAGTTGGTTTTTATAGAAGGTGTATGAGCCCTCTTCAGTTAAGAGGTTCATGAGATGGAGTGATTGGGCATGTTGCCCTGTAACTAATAAAGAGAGCATTACCAAATAATGAGTAAGCTGTTGTAGAGTTAAGTCTTCCGGAGATATGTATTTAAATAATCTAAAACAATGAAGGTGTCCTAGGTCACTTGATATCTTAGTAGTGTTGGTCTGGATTGCAACTCTCCCTTCATAAATCGCTGAACCATATAATGTGTACCAATCATAGAATTCTCTTTAGTAATAACGAATGAAGATAATATGCTTCGGGCAGTCTTTATGTTGCTGTAACTCATCCCTTGATCAAATAGTTGCTATAGAGCGTCTAGAACTATCTATAAAGTTGGAATGAAGGGGATCTGCATCCCGTTCATTAACATGTAGTTTCCACATGTTAAGGAAAACGCCCGATATTGTTTTTGTGTTCCTGGCTGCCAGAAATTAAGTATTGTTACTTGAGCTGGTGGTGAAATGACCTTACTTGAGAATGATCTCCAGATAATAGACAAGCCATCAGCTTCCCTTTGAATGGATATTCTTTTGTTTGATCGGATGGTAAGCTTACGTTGCTTTTCTTTTGTGGTTAGAATGGGATGGTGAATTATTAATCTTGCCCGTATCGGATACCATGATTGAGTTGGCCAATTCGTCACGACGAGAATTTTCCGTACATGGGCCATTTCTAATTTTGTACAACTTGTGATATAACACTAAAAGGTGGAAAAGCATAAAGTAACGAATTAATCCAAGCAATGCAAAAAGCGTCAATAGCCCACGGCTGTGGATCTGGGTGCCACGAGACATAGGGTTTAATTTGATAGTTTAGTCTAGAAGCAAACATGTCAACTTACAGGGTCCCAAAATGTGCTGACATTTCAAGAAATAATTCAGCATCAAGCTTCCATTCTTTGGAAACATCAGACGTTCTGGAAGCTTTGTCAGCAACCACATTAAGTTTCGCAGATATATACATGGCAGTTAACCATAAGTCCCTGGTTCTGCACCACGCCCATATTTCCCATGCAATTTTATTGCAATGGTGAGAGGAAAGCCCCCATGTGATTAATAAATGCAGGGGCAGTGGTATTGTCGGTCGCTACTTATCATGGGTGAGTACAAAACTCTACAGAGAGAATGTTGTAGGATTGTAAAGAGTTTGGATGATAAATTAACAATTTCTGATTATCTTTTAAAACTGTATAAGAAAGACTCTACGACATTAAAACTATTATCAATGGTACGCGAGAATATCTCGCCATATGTTACTGAAACTAAATCCTGTGCAATGCTTGAACTATTATTGCAGCAAATTGTTTTTAGGAGATGAGCACAAAACTTGTCATAAGCTACAGAATCATAAGGAACGTGCTAATAAGTTTGTTTATGGGAAAGGACTAAAAATTAGGTGGATGTCTCATTGAACTAATATACATGGAACGCTACAAGTAATAGAAAAGTGCAATAATTTCTTGAAGCCAAATCTTACACTCAGACATACGAGATTACACCCAGACACGCTTGTGTAATCTATCAATTTTCAGAATCTAGAAATACTACACACGCATGTCTGGGTGTAGTCTTGCGTGTCTGGGTGTAAGATTTGGCTTCAATTTTTTGCTTCAGGTAGGGTTCTATGTATTTTAGTTCAATGGAACGTCTATCGTAAATCGTCGAAAAAATAATGCAACGCTTAAATTTTTCAAATATATCCATGATCTATTACCATCGATATCACATTTTAGCGTTTCTTTGTTAAATCACTCAAAAAAAACACGAGAAAATGGATTGATACCAAAGATAAAACAAGAATCCGGCAAAAATTCATTTAAGAAAGCATTTCAAGGAGCGAAACTATAAAATGGATTGCCACGGAAAATTATAAGGAAGAACAATCGCTATTGCTTTTTAAATCTAAATTTAAAAATTTTTACAACAGTTATAACACAAAATTTATAACAGTTGTTTCAACTGAAAGGGTAAATCTGTTAAAATATGGATTATTATTATTATTATTATTATTATTATTATTAATAGCCCAATAGTTCCTTTTACTCTGAAGATGACTACCGCTAAGGTTGTCTAAACTTCAGTCAACAACAACAAAAACAGTCCTTCTCAGGACTATACCAACCTGGACGATCTACATGTAACAACATGTACTCCCGGGTTCAAACCATTTACTTTATTACAAGCTTCATTTTATTAGCTCAGTTGGCTATCAGTCGAAATGCGTCAAAGCAATCACAATAAGACAAAAATTTAAACGAACCAATTACGCGATAGCAATTGGACTCCCTTACCCGTCCAGCCACTCCGCTTATCAGTCGAGATTACTCTAGATTGTACACTGATCTGGCTATTGAGGAATGGAATGGGTTAAATAAGCGTTCTTGAACTCCCTTCTCCGTCAAACCAGTCGAGCCACCCTGCTCATCAGTCAGTCAGTTAATAAAATTCCAAATATGATAAAATCTACTGATCTGTTTACCAACGTGATATTTTTATAAGTTTAGGATATAAAACAAAAATTTGACAATGAACTTCGAACGATTATAAATCGGGAATTTAATGATCATAAAAACATAGTAATCATTAAATTTGATAAGTAATTTTTGAACTATAAACGTCAGTCGTGCGAATGATTTGACATACCCTAGATCCACCCCTGATAAAGAGTCATTACTTGTAACAAGCTAGTCATCAATCCTTTGCAGGGCTGTGTAAAGGTTGTAATATCTTCCATGACAGAAGTAATCATGATTTGGTTAGTGTTAAAATTTTTCAACTGGATAATTTTACAATAAGTACTTGCATGAATTACTTACTGAATGGTTTTTACATTAAGTATATACGATAAAGTTAAGAATAAAATAGAAAAGTAGGTGATTAGAAATACATTAATTGCATTTGTGCATGCAGTGACCATAGAAATGTTCTATTTCAAAATAAACCTGTCCTCTCGAGCCCAATTTCTACAACACAGGAGGAGTTTTGAAATTGCTCAAATTCTTCAGTCTTCCTCGCAACGGCAGTAACGACGACGTTACCGATTTTTATTGTTAACTATCTGAACAAAGTTTAATAAGCAAATTCGATGCTTTTGAGAAATTTTAAGTTCCTGTTTCTATGTGTTGTTCTGTTCCGGTGCTACATATTTTTTATAATTGAGAAAATCTTTTGAGTGTTATTCATAGCTAAAATGTGTCTTGAATTGCAAGTCCATCATATATGAGATAAAAAATCGTGTGAATATATTGTGCAATCATTTCATGTCTATACAGCGTTAACTCACTACGCTTATTTCGAGCGTTCAAAATTCTACCAAGGCCAGTTTTACGGGCTCGTTGTCAGGCTCTTTGTTCAGCACTAACTGAAGTATTTCCTGTGCCTTTTGTTTTTTTCCAATCTCTTTAAATGTGTACCCAAGAAAAGAGTGAACAATGGTATCATATGTAAGGCTGTTGACATATGTCTCCATTCGAAGTGCACATTCTTTAGCATTTTCCAAATTACCGCTTTCCAAATAAACTAGAACCGTTTGATAATAAACGAAAATTTGTTTTGGCAAAGACAATTTTACTCTAGCTTTAATTTCCTGCGCTACATAGACTCCAAACAAAGGCACGTCAACTTCAGAGAACGTTATAGACCAATCATCTTTGTCCTTACTTATTATTTGCTCAAGAAGAAAAATAGCTTCATCGAAGCGTTTTATTCGTTTGAGGAATGATGCATAAACTATCTCTACGAAAGGAGTCATTTTAATTTTTCTTTCAAGCAATTTCTGAAAACAGGTTTGAGCTTTTTCCATCCAGGACTGATAGACGATCTTATCATTTTTGCCTTCTGTAAATGCCTTTGCTTGATAAAGCTCTGTTAATGTTCCTACCATGTTCTGGTCAATGTCATAGCCTCTATCCATACGTAGGCAATGCTCATAGCATGCTATTTTATTATCTATCTTTTTGTCGTCCAGCATCCTGGCTAGTGAAGAGTAAATGAAGTATGGTTTAGGAAACGAGTACTGGGAAAGAATGGCATGTTGATCATCGAACGATTTATTGAAAATCTTTTCTTGTTGTTGCAGTAAATGAAGAAATGTTTTATAGGGATGACGTGTGTCACTTTCAGCAAACATAACCGAAGCATTTCCTTCAAGACGTGCCATTGAAAGTTGGCATTCTGTTGATAAAAATGTGAACTTCCTTGCAGTTACACACATATTTAAGGTGAATGCATATTCACCTAACTCGTAGTACACTTTTGCCAAATTTTCCGTCGATAGTGGAAAATCAGATTCGTCAAACGATAACTTCCCAGGTTCTTCAATAAGAGACACCAAATATTTCTCACTCTTTTCAAGTAGATAAGAAAGGCATACAGTTGTAATGCCTAAACCAGTCTGTAAATCTCTGCCCTCTGTAGACAGTTTATCAAACGATATAACTGCTTCTCTTTTGTTCCCAAGCTGAACATACACGCGTACCAGTAAGGAGTAAGCCAAGTTTCCCATGTTTGTATGTAATTCTCCGAAAGACTCCACATAAAATTGAATATCAGATCCAAAAAGAATTCGTTGGGAGTATTCGCAAAAAACTTCTCTAGACCACAATTTGTCATCTTCAACAGTTTGCTTTAAAATCATCTCAGCTTCTCTAAATCGGCATTCATCATAAAGGAAGTAAGCGTACATAATATGTTTGAACACGCTGCTGTTTTCAGTACCAAAGCCATTCGGGGTTTGATAGTATTTTTCGGCCAAGCCATGTTTTTCTGATACGTTTGGCTGTACATCATCATTGATAGCTCGTAATCGATGTGCATTTGCAAGATTTAGTAACGTTTGTCCACGACTTTCACTGGCATCTTCCAAACAGTCAGCAAGCAATAATCCGGCTTCGTAAACAATAATAGCTTCCACATTTCGATTTTTATTGACGTAGATATTCCCTAAACTATCAAAGAATTTCCAAAGTTTTTCTAAATTTTCATTTTCTTCAAGAAATTTACTCTTGCATATTTTAAGAGCTTCCTGAAGAGGACTGCATGACTTTTTTATTGAAGTTTTTGCAGCGATTACAGTAATTGCATCAATCAATGTGATGATTTCTTCCACAGTTACAACTGCTTGCACAGAGGGTAAAGTAAAAACGATTGCCAAGGACTTCTTAAGATTGATCAATGCATCCTCTGTTTCATTGGAGATCACCAAAGCCCTTCCATTTAAGGAAAACAAAGAACATTGTATTGTTATAAAATCATTTTTTCCAGACGGCCACGTGTCTTTCGAGAACATTTCAAAAACAACAAAAAGGTTTTGCAAAAATTCGTTCAAATCTTTTGCAATTTTTTGCGCCTCTTCTAATTTTTTTTGTCGCAAAAGTGTCGATGCCATTAGAAGCCTGATTTCACATTTTAAAGCAAAAAACTCTCCGTTTCCAATGGCAAGCTCCTCCGTAAGATCATTTGTACCAGTCAAGCGGTCCACAAATTCACTCGTTTCTAATGCATGTTGGCAAAATATCATGACTTGTTTGAGATTATCTTCGAGAGTTAAGTTTTTACTTATTTGAAACTTACATTTCGCAGCAAGATAGAATAACTGTACAAGCAATCTAGATGTCATCAATTGAGTTTCAATGGAAGATATTATTGCTATACCTTCCTCGCATGTGCACAAAGCTTCCTCCAATTTATTGAAAACCAGACGACTTTTGACTAAGCCAATCAGTGTCTCTGCGTATTCGAAATAATGATGAAAGCCCAACCCTGTTGTGGCTGAACGATGAAAACCAACTGCTTGATTAAAACTGATCTCTGCCGTTCTATAATTTTTCATGTACAGTTGACATTCTCCATTTAGCTTAAAAAATTTGGCCTCAGGCTTAGAATTTCCCGTATTGAAGGATTTTGAGGCAAGATCTACTGAGCCGATTAGAGCAGAAATGTCTTTATTTGTTTTTGCATTTTCCGCTCTATTCAGTAAAAACTGAATTTGATCATCAAATGAAAATGACGTAAACAAAAGCTCCCGAGAATCTTCAATGAGTTGATAAGCTGTTTCTAAATCACCTTTCATGTAGTTATGCAGAATAGAATCTGTCACAGAGATAATATTTTCGACATCTGCTTTTGATTCCTTTAAACTCTTATCAACGCCTGACTTATCTTTTATGTAAAGAGATTGATTCACGTTGGTATTTTTAGGATTATTTTTGTCGACAGTGTAGGCTATATCATTTTTGTCGGTGATGTTTAATTGATTTGCATGCGATTTTATCGAAACGGTCAGGAATTCACAGTCTTTGTTGTGCATATGTTTTGGTAAATGGTTCGGAGAATCATATTCTTGAAGTTTTTCTCTTGAAGCAATTTGGAATGTTGCTAAATGTTCTTTTTCAGTTATTGCTTCTGCATTAACAGAAACATTCTTTAAATTAGAGTTCAGTTTTATTATCTTCGAATGCAAAGACATCTCCATTGAAGCATCGCCTTGGAAATACTTGCCAGAAACGTTACTATCAAGCAAAACAGCTTGGTTGTATAACGTATATTTGTAAACACCACTGGTTTGAACTGTTTCTTTGTTTGAGAAGTAAACGGTTTCTGGAAGAGAAGAAAACATTTCTCCGAGTATATGTATAGATTTATGGAGAGTAATGAACACCTCATCTGAAGCATTTGTTAAGTGTCCAATCAAGACATCATTAAGACCGCAGATTTTTTTCGCTTCAAGAATGATATCTTGGGGGAACTCGTTCTGTTTGATTGTTGTAAAAATATCTCTAGCGATTTTGTTGAGCGTCTCTGCTTTTTTTAAATCGTCTGAAAAACAGCACAAGAGCGCCATGTCTGAAAAACAGATTGCTTTTCTAACACTGTTCATTAGCGCTTCTTCTCTGCTGTGCTTTTCCAAGAAAATAAGAACTTGCTGCAGAGTAGTTTTCAAATTTTTCCATTCAGGATACACAAACAAAAATACCTTCAGCAGAGAAATTTGTTGGATGATGTTTGAATGGTAAGGATCTAAACAATGCAATTTCATTTCTATTTGTAAGGAGCGCTCGAAAAAGTTCACTGCATTTTCATAATCCTTTTTCAAAATGTAAATGTCTGCTAGTTCAATCAGTATAGAAGCGACTTGCTCGTTCGTATTCTCAGATCCGTATATTACTTCGCTCATCTGCAAAGCTTTAAGCAAAAGTTTCTCTTTTTCAACAAAATCAATAGAATGATATTTGGATGCAAGTAGTAAAAACAAGGAAATAGTTTGAGAGTTAAACTGACCGACCGCTAATTGTTGTCGTAAGACATTGCCAGCTCTGTCATAGTGCAGCCGTTGCGCGTTTATGATTTGTTTATCAAAGCTTCTTTCACCCTTTGACAGAGATCTCGTAAAATTTTTCTCCACAAGGTCACTAAATTTAATATGCAAATCAAATTCAACGATTGCTACCTCCCGTGCATTTTTCTTAGATGATTGACAAACTTTGACTGCTTGCTCCAAGCAATGTAGGGCTTCGTCATAATCACCAATCTTTTCCCAGTTATCAACCATCTTTATTAAGTAATTGCATTTATCGCTGTTATCAACCAAGGCCGATACATATTTTAAAGTATCAGACATGTAGGTAAACGCTTCTGACGGGTTTTTATTGTCTATTAACAGTTCAGTGATATTTAGAAGCCTTTCTACGATTTTTGGCGTATTTCCATGCTCAGATTTCAATATTTCTAAAGATTTTGTGTAATGGCATTTTGCATCTTCCATAAACCCTTTTTGGAAACATAATTTTCCAAGAGAACTCAGATATTTCTCCTTCAAAACAGCATCTTGTTCCCTAGCAAGTCCCTGCATCAGCAATAACATTGCTTCGTCACTCATGCCTAAGTCCATTAAGGTTTTTGACACAATACACACAAGTAATACTTCATGTTGGGGATGTATGATATTGTCCAGACAATCATTAGCACTTAACGCTGACTCCCATGCTTTTTCTTTTTCACCTAATTTGAACCAAATAGTAGCCAATCCACAATGTGTCAAACAGTCAATCATAAGGTCTACTTTTGTTCTTCCCTGGTTCATTTCTATTTTCTTTTTGTTGCTAATATCTAAAGAATTCTCGAAGAAGGTGATCGCCTCCACGTGGTTGTCTGTGAAGGTATTGATCATAGCTAGTTGATGACTGACTTGTTTTCTATGACAAAGATAATTTGCTCCTCTGATGACACAAGTGATTTAAGAATTAGTGAAAAGTAGAACTTAGCCTCCTCGTACATAAATAAGCAAAAGCAAACCCTCCCAAGCATGAACAAAGTCCATAGAACATGAAAGTTGATGCTATCACCAAAAATAATACGCCCCATCAACAATGCTCTTTTCAAGCACTGGTAAGCTTCACCAATCTTGTCTTGATGCATTAGAAATTGTCCTAATTCGTTCAGCCATATTATTCCCATGACGCTGTTACCTTCGTCCTTTATCAATGCAGTGAGTTGATATATTATCTCATCAAATTCTTCCTGCGTGATTCGGATTTGAGATGTATTTATAAGTTTCACTCGCACGTTTAATTTTGTAACTCACTAATATCAGATTCTATATTGTTGCATTCCTCAAGACTTGTTATTGCATTTTTCATATTCCCTTGGCTTACACAATATGATGCGTGTAACAGATGCATATCAACTAATTGGTCTAAGAAGTCTCTTTTACGTTTGCTGTCTTTGCCCTCAGCAGCTTTTTTATGTATCTCTTGAAGTAAAGCTTTGAATTTCTCTTCAATCAAAGAAACGTCGTCAGACCCTATGCCCAATATAAAGTCAATCCTCATGTGTTTAATTACTAAGTTAATGTTTCCAGGGTCAAATTTAAGCGCACACTTATAACAATCTAATGCAGCAACGTAGTTTAACATTCGACAATGTATGTGTCCTTTAACTCTATCAGAGCAATCAAAAAACAAATTGCGCTCAAAATCATTTGAGTCAATCCTGTCGTCACAAAACTCTTGCAGCATTTCATACAGTGGAGTTGATACATAGAAAAAATGAAACAGCTCTTCTTTTCTTGTTGTATCGTAAGCAAATAATCTGTTGTTTACCGGTCCTGTTTTATTGTTGGAATTATTAGATCTTGTCTTACCTGCCTCGTCCTGTTTTTCCGCTAAAAGGTCATTATAAAGCTTAAATTTTAGTGAAATTGCTAAAGCACTTGCAAGGTTATCTTTTGCACTAGAGCATATCACCTTCCTTTCACACAAATCATCAACAATCTTAAAGGAGCCATTTGTGGTGATACCAAAAACCATCGAAAATCCTACGATGACGCGATCATTCAATCGATAAATCTCCTTTTTTACATCATACTCCTTTCCATCGAATGCTTGATGGCTGTCCAACATCGTTTTCCCGTATCGATCAACATCCTTTGATAGAATGCAACGTCCTCTGCTAGATAGTACAGTGTTGTTTTAGTACAACCAACTATATCATGGGGTTCACGTAAAATCTTGCCAATAATTGCTTTGTATTCGCCCAATAACGTTTGTTGGTCGTCTTGGAGTGGCGCAACAGTCAGCAAAATATCTCCTAATAAATAATTCATTGAATTATTTCATAATGAAAATGAAGAATTCAAATATTAATATTATTTATATAAAATACACATTTAATATTAACGACAACTTTTTTGAAAATAGATATGTTTCGACATCTCATGATGCCATCTTCAGTATGGGTGAAATAATAGGTGGTACAGGGTTTATATAAAAGTAATATGATACATAAATTACAACAATAAAAAGGAAATAAGATAGATTAATGAGGAGCGTCCGAGCGTATTATAAACTAAATATTGTATTAAATTTAAAAACTTGAACATTGAGGTCAGGGTTAGTTTTGTTGATGTGGAGTGCTTCTGATTTTAAGGGTGAATGAGGTGTCGGCGGTCGCTGATTTTGAAACAGGAGGGTGAATAGTTGGTTTTGCATGAGTGAGATTTAAAAGTGTCGGTAGATATGAGAGTTTTGTCTGTTGTGGTATGTTCCTGATTCTGGTGGATAAATGGCGCTTAGTTTCGCCAATGTATCGGGAATTACATCCCGCGCAATTGAATTCATATACCACCATAGATTTAATTGAATGAGGGATTGGGTCTTTGAATGAGAAAAGGTTTTTGATTTTGAATGATGTGAAAATTAGTCGAATGTCAATATCTGTACAGAAGCGTTTCATAATGTTTGTAAGTCTGCGTTGTGTGTGTCGTGAGTAATGTCCGATGTATGGTAGTTTGAAGTATAGAGTTGTTATTCACAAATTCTTCATCTCCTACGACGTTGAAAGCCAATTTACTAACATACCACTTACTGAAACCATCAACCTAGCAATCGACTAAATATTCGCTCACAACCCCACAGCTGTTTTTAATAGCAACAGCACAGACACATTTTTTATTTAATGGAAAATTTTATGACCAAACGGACGGTGTTGCGATGGGCTCTCCCTTAGCACCCATACTTGCTAACATTTTCATGGGCTCACATGAACGAAACTGGCTAAACAACTACAACGACACTAAACCACTATTTTACCGCAGATACGTTGACGATATTTTTTGTGTTTTACTAACGAAACTGAGGCCATGAAGTTTTATAATTACATTAACACACAGCACGCAAACATTAGATTTTCTTTGAAACTGAACAACAAGATCAACTGCCATTTCTTGACATTTTACTAACAAAATCTCACGACAGCTGTACAACATCTACATACCTCAAACTAACATACACAGGACTTCTGACGAACTATTTTAGTTTCACACCACTTTCATACAAAACCGGACTTATGCGCACACTAATCGACAGAGCATACAAACTTAACAATACGAACAATGGCTTTCAACGAGACATAAAAAACATCACATCCACTCTAAGACGAAACTCTTTCCCACTTCACTTTATTAACAGAACCGTAAAACGATATCTCGACAACAAACATAGCAACAACCTCAACCTAGACACCGAAACTCCTGACACGACGATCACAACCAACACAAATGAAAATTCCAAAATAACAACTCTATACTTCAAACTACCAAACATCGGACATTACTCACGACACACACAACGCAGACTTACAAACATTATGAAACGCTTCTGTACAGATATTGACATTCGACTAATTTTCACATCATTCAAAATCAAAAACCTTTTCTCATTCAAAGACCCAATCCCTGATTAAATTAAATCTATGGTGGTATATGAATTCAATTGCGCGGGATGTAATTCCCGATACATTGGCGAAACTAAGCGCCATTTATCCACCAGAATCAGGGAACATACCACAACAGACAAAAACTCTCATATCTACCGACACCTTAAATCTCACTCATGCAAAACCAACTATTCACCCTCCTGTTTCAAAATCATCGACACTGCCGACACCTCATTCACCCTTAAAATCAAAGAAGCACTCCACATCAACAAAACTAACCCTGACCTCAATGTTCAAGTTTTTAAATTCAATACAATATTTAGTTTATAATACGCTCGGACGCTCCTCATTAATTTATCTTATTTCCTTTTTATTGTTGTAATTTATGTATCGTATTACTTTTATATAAACCCTGTATCACCTATTATTTCACCCATACTGAAGATGGCATCATGAGATGTCGAAACATGTCTATTTTCAAAAAAGTTGTCGTTTATATTAAATGTGTATTGGCAATAGTGCTTTTACGAAATTATATAAAATAACTTTTTAATTCTAAATTTCAAAAGTCAAGCATTATTTTACAAAGAACATTTTATTTAAGAGGAAAAAATGGTTGAGAAAAGATTGAGAGATAGCTACTGTTCACGAAAATTCTACAAATACTTTTATATTTGCAGTGTGTTTCAAATTTTTTGATACCCATTGAACTCATTTCGTAGTGATGATTCCAAAAAATGACAGTGCCTGTAAAGTGCCATGACTAAAAATTCTGTAAAATTGAACATAGTAAAATCTAATAATTTGCGATCGATTCGCCCAATTTTATAACATAGCTACAATTATCATTACGACTTGCAGATGTGCCTTCAGCATATGCTGTATCCAATAAAACAGGACAGCAATTTAGACACAAAACTTATACTGAGATATATGCACTGTACCGGATTTTCACACACAACATTGTACACAGCGTTAATGCCAGAGCTGGCGTCCTTTTTTGTCTGTGTAAAGCAAGTAATGAGAGAAAAAGAAAATGAAAACAATGCATATCTTGATAGTTGATGAAAAACAATAATGAAATACACAATGAAAAATTGTGTGTCGTTAAACAAAATATATCACTGGAGCGTTATTAAAACGTAAAAGTACACCAATCATACACGATCAAGTTGTATAAAGTGCTATGAATATTTAAATATGTTTTATATAGCATTCATATTTTTCAGCATTCAGTTCTGTCATGAAGACTTGTATTAGTTCGTCGATCGATCGTCCTAGATTCTTGCTAAATATATTTCTCCTCGAAAATATTTTTCTGCGAATGAGCTAATTTTGTTAGATGCAGTTTTAATGTGCAAAATTTGTCGAAAAAATGACATTAAATCATTTTTTACGTTTTTCTACTTGCAAGAAGCTAAACAAACATCAGCTATTGAAAAAACACCAATAATGCATATAAGGGAGGAATTTGACAAATTTTAACTGCATGTCTGGCTTCAACCAATCATGGGACAAAACTATAAGAATTATCGTTCTACATGTATTTTAGTTCAATGTACCAATATTAAACGTAATCATAAAAACTCGAAAGAAAATAAATATATGCTTAACATTTTCCTCACCCAAAAATAGTAACCAGAGCAGATAAACAATGCAAATAAATATGAAACTGGCAATATGGCATGCTGATTAAAGTTTCATGTGTTATTTGCCAAACGAGATATAATTAATTTTGATGATCTCTCAGGGGATTTTAGTATTTACCGTATTAGAAATACGTTGTTGTTTGTGGTACATCAGTGCGGATTCCATACTTAAAGCCAAACAAACTTTTTGAATACTTTGTTGTGATTGTGCGCTCTCTCAAACCGTAAAAATCTTACTCCCCGAAAAAAATATACACCAACAGACACAAACAAACCGAGATTTGACAAGAATATAGGTTGACCCTTACAAAAATAAACTATAGTTTTTTGAGTCAAAAACTATAGTGTTGAAACCCGTAGTATTTTGAAACAAAATTTATAGTTCCGAAAACTACTGTTCTACTTCACCATTGGTCATGTCAAAAAAGGCCATGAGCACAGAACTACGAATTCTTTATAAAAAGCACGAAAGAGCAACCAAACAAGTAACTTTAATTACCAACATAATCTTATCTAATCGATATTAAATGACTGTAGTAAAGTATGATCAAAATTTTCAGAGTTGGTAGTTGCCTCTGAAGTCATTGGATTGTAAAAGATTTTGCTAAATGTTGAAGCATGTGTTCAACCAGCTGCATTCATGATAGTATTAATTCAATGAATGAATGAATGAGTGAATGAATGAATGAAAATCTTTATTTTGACACGTTGGCCTCGTCAACTAGGTTTGATTTCCATGAGGGGCGTGCTTTTGTTCAAAAGCAATTACAAAATTCTCTAAGAATTAAAATAACTATAGTAGAGAAAGATAAGTTTAAATATTTACATCGTTTAGTTTAATTTACATAGTTTAGTTTAATTAGTTACATGTTAAACTAAATCATAAAATGCAAGCAGCAATTTTCTTTTGAAAAAGTGACACGCTTTTGCTATTTCTGATTTCTGCTGGAATTGGATTCCAAACAGAAGCCCCATCATACGCAAAGCTTTTTTTTAAGGAGTTAGTACTAGGCATTCAGACAACTTGTAATATTGCGTAGATTGTAATCAGTGATGTCTTTTCTATAGGTAAACAATCTAGTAAGTTAATTTTGTGCTGCATTTTTTAATAATTTAAACATCAGCTTTGCTTCAGCTTTTTTTCTAAGTATTTCAAGAGGTTCTCACTTCATTTCTTGTAGTGCGTTACAATGATCGACATCATTGTTCATGCTTATGATAATTTTTGCAGCTCTGTTTTGAAGCTTTTGTAGTCTTTTGGACTTAGTTTCCCTTAATACACCCCAAAATTTACAGCAATATGTGAAGTAAGGATGTACCAGGGCATTATAAATAGAGATAAGTGTTTGTCTGTGTATTCCTTTAATTTTCTAAGTGCAAAAATAACGGCTGCTACTTTATGAAAATTTTATTAGTGTTACTCTTCCAAGATAAGGGTTGGTCACTTATTCAACCCATACTTTTGACTCATAAATTCTATTTATAATTGCCACTTGCAATATGTAAATTAGAGGTAAAAAAATTCTGATCATTTGTTTCGAGCCTATGATCAAATATTCTGCCTTGGTTAATTTTGAACTAAGTTTGTTTGCTGTCACAGTTTGTTTACAGTGTCAAAGGCCTTTTTTAGATCAATTTGGAGTACAAGGTTGAGCAACATTTTGTCCATGTATGTGTACCAATCATTTGTACAGTCAATTAATGCAGTTGTTGTTGAATGGGATTTTCTGTACCCAAATTGACAATCACTTAGGATTTCAGATTTAGGAAAGTAATTGTAGAGTTGATCCTATAGTATACATTCAATGATTTTATAGACAACTGGAAGAACTGAAATTGGTCTATAGTTTCCAGGCAAATTACGAAGTCCATTTTAGTAAAGAGGTATAGAGATCTTGCAGTTTTCCACTCATCTGGGAAGTCAGATAAAGTTATGCACTGATTGAAAATATAGGTTCATGTTTCAGATATGATAGGTGCAGCTAGTTTTAAAATTTTACATGAAATTTCATCACAACCTGTAGCCTTATTTGCAGAAAGTCCACAAATGAGATGGTACACATTATAGACAGTAGATAGCTGAAAGGCAGCAAACTCTGATTTAGTTGTATTTATATAATTCTCAAAATTCTTCTTCTGCAAGTTTTGGGCCAAAATTAGAAAAATATGTATTAAGGCCCTCTGCTATGCTTTCTGAGGTTATAAAAGTATTGTCATTGATAATCAATTCATTTATAACTGTTTCATTCTTTTGTTTTCCCAATAAATTATTAATAGTTTTCCAGGCCTGTTTAGGGTTTTGTTTTTGACCAACAATCTTTGAAGAGTAAATACTCTTTTATTGCATATTTTAGTTTAATATATACTTTATTCCTGCTTTTCTTGTAACACAGCCAGTCTGTTTCTAAATTTGTTTTCATTGCCTTGTGCCCCAAATAGTCTCGCATTTTTATTTATGTCATTTGTCATCCACGGAAGATTTTTTCCTCGAATCTTTTTATTTTGAATGGATTCATATTTTTCAAAAATCTCAAGGAATTTAAGACCTTTCCACTTTTCCCACAACGCATTAGTATCTTGCGGGAAGAAATATATAAAATCCCATGGTTGCTCCCTGAGTTCATCAAGAAACGTTTTCTTAATAAAGTTTTACATGTTCCTTATTTCCATTATGTTGTCACTTTTTGGTACGGGAATTTTCCTGATTGCAAAAATCATATCATTGTCCCTAATACCTGTGTAAATAACTCCTGATTCAGATATTTTTTAGGGAGTATTTGTGACTATGTGGTCAATCAGACTTTTGTTGCATTTTGTGACTCGTGTAGCCTGATTGATTAATTGAATAAGCTGATAGTTTTCGTAAAGTGATTTAAGTTTCATTGTTTTGTCTAACATTTGATCACATGGTTTTAGCATGTCACAATTTAGATCACCTAATATGTACATTTCTCGATTTTCATCATCCATTGACTCTATATATTTTTTTAAATTCATTAAAAAACTCAGAAGGAGCACCGGGGGGACCTGTAAATTGTGGCAACTAAAAATGGTTTACTTTGTGGTTTAATAATTTCAATGCAAATTGCTTCTACATTTGATGGGAGTAGGTCATTTCTTATTTTATATTTTATAGTATTCCGTAAATAAATGTAAACACCACCACCATACCTTGATCGGTCTTTTCGGATTAAATCATATGCAGTTACATGCATCAAACCATCGCTAATGGTTGAGTCAAGCCTAGTTTCGTTAAAGGCTATTAAATCAATATGACCCTTTGATAAGGAGCACCTTATCTCATCAATACTTTTTGGGAGACTGACTATGTTCAGCAAAACCATTTAAAACCCCTTTTGCTAGAAACCTTGTTAAGATCATATAGAAAATTGCTACTTGCTTTAATAGAATTTGGTTTTTAAATAGTTGGACCTTCCTCAATGTTTGACGTACAAACTGCAGATAATCGTTGCACTTTTTTCTCAGATAATTTTGGTCTAAAAATGCTTATTTTGGCCATTACTTGCTGACTTAAGATAAGTGCAAAATGCACTCCTCGATGCTTTATCACCAGCCCTGTTTAAATGAAGATTGGACTTGTATAGCAGGCTCTTATCAATTTTGTCATTATTTATAAATGCTAGGTTGTCTTGTATACACATATCACTAATCAATTTACTAAATTTAGTCAGGTTGTATGGTTGAACACGGCCATCATGCCTTTTAATTATACAGCAACATTTTTGACTTTTTTGGAATCAACTATTAGCTCACATTTTGGATACAGCACTTTCAGCATCTTCACTCACCAGATTGTTTGTACCCACATGGATAATATATGAATTATAATTTTCATTCCGTAGTGTTTCTTTCATTTTGGTATGGACGTCCTTTGCTTTTTCTCCACTGTTTGTCAGTACGGTACGCACGCGCTGCTCTTTGAATCTTTGGCTGGTTAATGTATGTGTCTCACCATTGAGTCCCCAAAAATCAAGGTCTTAGTCTTCGCTCTAAATTTTTCGTTTAAAGTTGGCTTTTTTAATGAAAGGGGGTGTTCTACGCCTTGATTTTTTTTTGTATCACTTCAAATTTGGATTCATGGAAAGATTTATATTCATCAATTTGATTCCGAATCTGACTTTCTTTCTTCGGAGAGGGACATATATTCTTATTGGCGAGAACTTGAAACGTATTAGACAGAGTAAAAGTACCATCAGTGGTCGGTTTAGAATCTGTTGGTGGGATCGAGCTGTTTTTATTCGTATATATATTCATTTTCTCAATTGATCCAATTATTTTGTTTGACTTCTAAAATATTTTTAATGGTGGTATTTTCTGCCGTAAGCTCTTTCACAAGATATTCAAGGACTTCGATTTTCGCCACCATATTCTTTTTGTCTTCAACTAGCGATGCAATGACTTTTTTCAAGTCATTTGGGCGTTGTTTCGCTTTGAAGCATTCTGCTTGTTGGTTTGTTTTCAGTTCATTTATTGAATTCGCTATTTTCAAAAGTTCCTCGTTATAATTGATGTTATTTTTGGATAGTATAATTTTCCGATTGGCCTCATTTTTAGCAGAGTCAGTGTTAGCGTCGTCCACGTGCTTCGGTGTTTTTACTTCGTTTTGAGCAGGGGCATTCGTTGATGCAAAGCTGGCTAGAGTGGCTGCTAATTGATTATTTTCATCGTCATCAACTATTAAGAGCTTTTTATCCGAAGAACTATTCCACTTTAGACTATACACTGCATTTGTAAAATGTAGCGTATCACCACGTGCTGACGACCATCTACCTGACATTTGTAGATCGTTTAAAACAAACACTTTTAGAGACTCTCGGTATCAAATCATTGCCAGAAAACGTTAAAAGATTTAAATTATTTTTTAAATTACAAGCGAATTTTTTTGTAATGTTTTTCTTCGATTTTGAAACGCACGTCTTTTCCTTAGCAACAGAAACATCCGCCATTTTGAGTATATGTTAACTGCTTTAGCAGCAGAGGTTGAAGCTCCTCTGATACTATGGGCATGGAAAATATTTGTGTCAATTAGAGGGACTAGATTGAGTTATGTCAAAATTAATGTGATGTCACGCTGGGACGAGGCAGCAAATATTAAAGAGCTGAAAAATATATTTTGATTTTTCGAGAATCCGTTCTACAGAGAAGCCAATTGCAGGAAAACAGTGTTCGAGTCTTTTCGAGAATATAAAATAATTGGGAAAGTAGGTATAATAATGTTGGGAGAAATAGTTCTTATACTTACACATGTTTAGACCTACGAGCAACCAAACCTTTTTAAACCTCCAGTTTGCATGTACATGGATCAGCAAAAATGAATTTGCCATGTGATCGTAACGGAAATCACGTGGTTGTAGGATTTATTCCTTTGTCAAAGAGTTTTATATTAATAATGTTTTAAAAATTTTTGTCAGCAGAAGGACGCACAATTTTCTAAAAAAACCTACCTAAGTGTGGATGCTTCTTGTACCAGTATTCACTCTGAAAATTTGCCATTGTCGCAGGAGTATGAATAAGCTCAAAATCCAGAGAATTTCCCCAAGGTGTCTTGCATGCTTGAGGAAGAAAAGCATCAAAAGAGAGTCCACGAGGTGTCACATCATCATAAAACCAATCTCCTCTTAACACTTCAATATCGTTTACAGGCAAAATGGTCTCCAAGGTTGATAATCTGTAATCAATGATGTTGGAGGAGAATATGTTTCTATACTTGAGTGATATTTTATATCAAAAGACTAATTATCTGGCGACAAAGAAAGCTATTTTGTTGAAAATTAATCTCGTTACCTTCAATACGCTGGAAAGGCTAATATATATCATAGTAGTTTCTTAACAATATTCCAGGTGAAATTGAAGAAAGATTTTATTATTTTGCTTACCTGGAAATGAACAAGGTTTGTCAAACTGCGAAAGAAAGTTTTACATTCCTCATCTTCAGAGCTAGTTAGTATTGCCCACTCTATATCTGAGTATGGTGTCATCTCTTCTCTTGCCAAAGATCCAAGTAGTATAACTTCATAGTTGCATGGTGGCTTCCCCAACACATCCAGACATTCTTCAATGATTTCTATTACAAGCTGTTTTACCCTGGTTGCAACCTTTTTGAACAAATCCTTTACCTCGGGTGTTTGTTTGATAAACATTTTCCTAAGGTCTTCATCACTTCCTGTTTCAGCATCGTATTTAGCATTTATGTCTTCCAAACTACTCTTGGTCTCTTCTCGTAGTTCTTTCAAAGCTTTTTTTTTACTATCCCAATTAAATTTACACCTAAACGAGTTCCCTCCAGCCGTTTTAATAAGGCTCTGTTGAGCATCCAAGACTTTCTCAGGTATACGCTTTGAAATGTTTGTGGTAAACTCACTTTCTTCTGCGATTTTGTTCAAACAATTTTTCACAAAATTATAAAGCACTGTGGCGTGCAGTAATAGTTTTTGTCTCTCAAGTTGTTGCAAGTTACCTTCAGTCGCTTTCTGCTGTAGAATCTCGGCCAAGTGATAGTATAACTCCGGGTTACTTTTACTTGAAGCATCCTCAACCTTTTGTTTTTGTATTGCCTTGCCAATAAACGTTTCTGCAACATTTAACTCTTCTCTTTCAAAAGCTCGTTTTGAAATATTTAGGAGTTGTTTGGAATTCAGCTGAAAATAAAAATACACATCACATAATGTAAGAGTAACAAAAGATGTTTGATGTACTCAGTGGTTATTCGCGTACTGATCTCAAATCTAATCCAATCGAGTTGCTAGATCTCCCGAACATGCAATGTTTTGTTGAGCTTAATGTTTGTTCTGGCTTACTAACATCTAATCGAGAAAACAGTTTAGTTAAAAAAGAAAGTGGTACAATACCTGTTCACTTTTTATGTATTCCCTTCGTTTCTGGTTTTCATCAAGTATATTGTAAAAAGCTGTATATAAAAATATAAATGTCACAACAAAGACAGCCAAGAATCGTCAATCAAAATTTAAATAAAATTGAAATATTCTGAGAGCAAAAATTTTTAGTACTAATGAATACATACCTTTCGTACTGACTTGGAGGTTGTATTTGTCTCCATTTGTCCACTCCAACAATTTCTTAAAGTCTACAAATGGTAAAAAAAACATTATGGAGAACAATAATCAAATACTTTTAGAAACCTGATCACATTTGTAGCTAGCAATGCACGAATGGTGGCCATTTGTTCAAACAATGAATGGCATATTTACTTGACGTTGAAATAGGCATAAGCATAAAAAATTAAAAAATGCAATTGAAGTTATAGACCAACTAACTCGACAATAAGCCGTATGTTAAAGAATAACTTTATATTTATTTCATTATTTTACAAAACATTCCATTGGAATGCTGTGATGTACACAGAAAAACTTGTGAAATATGGTTTGAAATATAAAGTAAAATTGACTCATTAAGGTGGGTTAATTTCACCAAAATAGCAATATGCTCTTTGCAGTTTCTCTAAGTGGTAATGACAGTGCAGTGCTTAATTAGTAACGAGCACAACAACGTCAGAAGATGTACAACGTCATATGAACAGTCAATGAATCGGCTTAGTTGGAAATGGTTAATCGCTTTATTTGTAGTGACTTTTATACAGCTTATCCATATGTTCTTATTGTATGCATGTTAATAATGCATACAATTTTGCCATGGGCCAATGTGTTTTCTTCAATAAATCACTGTACGCCTATCTCAATATTTTCAAAACGACCAAGTGATTTAGTGAGGAACGGAATTTTTTGACAGAATTACTTTATAATTTTCCTCAGCTTTTATTCATCATATTTTGTAGTTTGTTAATTTGATACAAATTTGATATAGTTTGTTCCTCACTTTATAATTGCCTTACATCTTGGTCATTATGTAATAATGGGTATTACTTAATAATAAAATTAAGTAACTAACTTAAATAGTAAATTATAATGCACTTAAATTACAACTCACAGATTTGAGTGAACTCAAATGCATGTATATGGTATACTTACAAATTATATTTTCAGATATTACTCATGACATCTTTGGTATTATCTTGTATTAGATCTTTAGTTATCTTATGCTAGTTCATGCATTGTTAACCTACGCAATAGTCCATAAGTCAAATGCTAATGCGTACACTGCAGTATTGTTTTTCATGCATATTATACATGTATAATATATATCATACATACATTATATATTTATATTTTCCATTATACATCATATATTTATATACATCATCATTCCATATTAGTATATATCACACATTATATATTATAGTCCAGGCGGTGAGTGAGGTAGGTATCACCTGAGCGGGTAATTTACGGGAGTAGGACTATCTAGACCAGTTTTTGGCGTAGAACACGAATCCGCATGTTATTCAGTCTGGCAAGGCTGCTTTTAAGAGTTATTTCCAGATATTGCGCAATGAAGCCTCATTTTCATGCAAAATCAAACGTTTTTAAGATTTAGCTATTATTATTAATAAAAACACAGACGTGATACCTACCTATTAATAATAATATTAAAAAGACGTATACTGGACCAGTTTTAGAATTAGAATTGCAGTATAATTCAAATGGCAAGACCCCACCCCCCCCTCCCCCCGATATAGCCTAGTTTTCATGCAAACATATTGTAATTTGATATAAATCTTAACATTAAATGTAAATCAACACTACTAGTTTTGATGTAGTTTCTTAAATAATTCGAATCACATACAGTACCTATAGCTGTATCATTCGTCGTCATCTCAACTGCAGCTGTCTTCTTGGTCATCACTTTCCTCATCGCTTTCCTCATCACGTTCGACAAGTAACTCCGCAACGTCGTCAGGATTTGCTTCGGCGATCCAATCGATGTTCAAGTTCGGGAGCCAACCATGGAACTGGGGATCTTCCAATGCCATAATTGGATGCTGTGCTTTTCTCCAAAGCCTGGCCACATAGTTAGCTCTGGTCACGTGCTTTCGTAAGCTGCTGCTACATGGTGGTAAGAGAGAAAGGTCAATTACTTTACGCTCTTTGTTCATCTTTTTCCAGAAAATAGCTGACCTTGCCTCGTTAACGTGTTCGATTTTCTTCTCTCCATACAAGAAGCATACAAATCTTTCCATGGCAATAAACATCTCCTCTGGAATATGCATTTCCATTCCCAACCGGCAAAAAATGTCCAAGAACTCTAGATCTTTGCTCACTTGTTTCCAACAGAAAGGCTTGCCTTTACGCAGAAAGCTTGCCACATAATCATTTCAGGTAAATGCATGGAGGCCAACTAATGCTTTCTTTTGTTGATTAGTTAGACTACACACGATCAATATGCTCATAGAATCTATATTCTAGCAGCTATTATTCGAAGTATGGTGAAGGTACCGAACATGTTTAAAGATGTTGTTTTACGACTGTTGTCAGATCTTCCAATGCGGTATAACATCGTTTACGTTGCATGTGATACGTACAGGAATCGTTCGATAAAGAACAGTGAACGAGACCTTCGAGGTGATGGCGACAAGTTTGTTATTAGAAGTGCGAATGTGCGCGTACCAGCTGATTTCAAGAAGTTCCTTGGTAACGGAGACAACAAGGAGCGACTTTTTGAGCTTATCGAAGAAGTGTGGGTTCAAAATAGGAACCAACTAGGACAACGTGTTGTATACTTCGCTAGGGGGAACGCCTACCTGAATATAACAGAAAACGGTTCTTCTTGTGTAAGAGAACTATCAACAGACCACGAAGAGGCTGATACTAAGATCGTGTTTGATTCAGCATGCATCCTACCATAGCGATGGTCAACAAATAGCCTGTGTGGTACGATCAAGTTCCGACGACATCGATATTCCCATAATTTACTTGGAATGGAGCCAATCAGCAATGTGGCAATCTACATCGACAACGGTTCTGGAAAGACGCGAAAGCTCCTTCATTTGAACGTGTGTAGTCTAACTAATCAACAAAAGAAAGCATTAGTTGGCCTCCATGCATTTACCTGAAATGATTATGTGGCAAGCTTTCTGCGTAAAGGCAAGCCTTTCTGTTGGAAACAAGTGAGCAAAGATGCAGAGTTCTTGGACATTTTGCCGGTTGGGAATGGAAATGCATGTTCCTGAGGAGATGTTTATTGCCATGGAAAGATTTGTATGCTTCTTGTATGGAGAGAAGAAAATCGAACACGTTAACGAGGCAAGGTCAGCTATTTTCTGGAAAAGATGAACAAAGAGCGTAAAGTAGTTGACCTTTCTCTTACCACCATGTAGCAGCAGCCTACGAAAGCACGTGACCAGAGCTAACTATGTGGCCAGGCTTTGGAGAAAAGCACAGCATCCAATTATGGCATTGAGGATCCCCAGTTCCATGGTTGGCTCCCGAACTTGAACATCGATTGATCGCCGAAGCATATCCTGACGACGTTGCCGAGCTACTTGTCGAACGTGATGAGGAAAGCGATGAGGAAAGTGATGACCAAGAAGACAGCTGCAGTTCAGACGACGACGAATGATACAGCTATAGGTACTGTATGTGATTTGAATTATTTAAGAAACTACATCAAAACTAGTAGTGTTGATTTACATTTAATGTTAAGATTTATATCAAATTACAATATGTTTGCATGAAAACTAGGCTATATCGGGGGGAGGGGGGGGGTGGGGTCTTGCCATTTGAATTATACTGCACTTCTAATTCTAAAACTGGTCCAGTATACGTCTTTTTAATATTATTATTAATAGGTAGGTATCACGTCTGTGTTTTTATTAATAATAATAGCTCAATCTTAAAAACGTTTGATTTTGCATGAAAATGAGGCTTCATTGCGCAATATCTGGAAATAACTCTTAAAAGCAGCCTTGTCGGACTGAATAACATGCGGATTCGTGTTCTACGCCAAAAACTGGTGTAGATAGTCTTACTCCTGTAAATTACCCGCTCGGGTGATACCTACCTCACTCACCGCCTGGACTATTATATATTCATGTAAATAATTAAAGTGTTTAACTTTCAACCATCCTCACAACCCTTATTTAAGGAAAACGTACCTCACGGGAGGTACCAGTTTACCAGCAACTTTCTTGCAACTCAGCATAGAGGGGGGAGTGAACGCAACTATGACCACATTGACCATTGTATTACGAGTTGGGACAATTTCGTTCCTACTTTCAAGTTGAACTTATAACGAAATTGTGTAAAATTGGCTAAATGAGCAAAATAATAAAGCAATTCCGCCTTGTTTAATGAAAATTTTAACTATAATGGAACCAGAATCAAGCTTTTGGCGTTTTTGTAAATAATTAATGCAAACCAAACTCAATTTTATGGATTTGAGCTACTTTCGTGGTTGAATAGTTCATGCTTTGAAACTAATCGTGACTCACTGCTAGGCGTTTCAACGTATGTGTGAACGTATATTCTGGCAGTTTTCGACAACAGCTCCAAGATATTTGTTTTAAAGAAAATACTCGACATTTCGGTTGCATATTCTTGGCAGGGAAAACACTTTACTACACATATCTCCAGATCTGAATCAATGGCTAGGTGCTAGGTATAAGGGAAGTCAAAATAAATCACTGCAACTCACTTTTTATTGTATTTATATTTCAAACCCGTAGAGACAACTTAACTAGAAATTCATCACTAATAATCTTATTGTAAAACAAAAAAGTATTTTAAATTTACAACTGTGCTGCTATAATTTATTTTGACTTAAGCTGTGTCTGCCATTGAATCAGTGTTATCCATAGTTGGATAAAGTTTTGTGTTGAGGCACTGTATTCATGAAATTTTGCTTCTAATATAAATTATTTCTTTATTGTTTGCGAAACTGTGACTGTAGCTAAATTTGAATTCTCATGTAGAAAGTATTTGTTGAAAAGGAAATTATTGTTTGTGCATCATAAAACGATTCTGTTGTTGAAGAACAGTTTTGTTTGCTAGAAATGCTACTGTTTGTACAGACTTTGATATTGAATATGAGTCTGATCCAATTTTTAATCTAGCTTAAAAAATTAATAAGTTGAGTAATGACTAAACTCCTGCATGTTTTTCCAAATTATAAAGACCAAAGACCACACCAAATCATGGATTATTTAAAAACCAGACCAAATCATTGATAAGCCGATTGAACATACTCTGGTTTAAAGGACAGACAGCAATGTATATTGCATTCTAAATAATGTATTTTACCTAGCTGTTTCAGTAAATATCTTATTTATGATTACTGATACTATACTTTCAAAAAATTTCCTAAGCATACAACATACAATATTCGAAAGTATATTATTTTCACATATTAGATTAGCCATAATTGTTTGTTGAAGTGGTTAAGAGCTTGTAAATTAGAGTCATTTCAGAATATAATGATAAGTCATAATCTTTCTATAAAGTGCGGGCTTTTTATGTAAGAAAACTATTAAATCTTTAGCATTAGGACGAACTTTTCCAATGATTTTTTACTCGAAAACAATCTTCGTATATGAACCTTTAGGTCAAAAGCAGTTCGACACAATGGTCACTATGCGCAATCCAATCTATCATAAAGCCATTTCTTTGTTCTTTCCCGATTCCATGATTTTGGTGATATGTAGTTAAATGTTTTAGCTATCAAATAATCAATTATTATAGCCATATCTCCAGAAAATCAAACTATTTTCTCAAAATGCAAAGAAACTTGTAATAATCGCCGTATAAACATTAGTTCAAATTTCAAAATTACGAACGAAAATGGCGAAAATCAATCATGTGACTGATATCGTCCAATTAACGTTTGCAAACCAGAGAACAACACATATCCCAACTCTTACCAATAGAGGGCTCTGGTATTAATTGCTTATTTCAAAAGCTTATGCTTATCTCTTAAACATGAATGATCGATGTAGCTACGTAAAAAATTCATGCGGTTTTCTTGTAATTTCTAACAAAGAAATAAACAATTTAAATGTTTTACCATATTTTGGCGCTGAAGAATTCGTAGCCATGTCTATAATCCACAGACCGCATATGAAGCTGAAAAGAAATAAAATGTGTCTTTCATATTGGTAGACGAAATTTCAGTGAGTGATCAAGCTTTTTAATTAAAAATTCCAACATTAAACAAGACTTTAGTATAAATAACCAAACTTGGTTAGTCTGCACTTTGATATTGTAAAAAAAGTTTAACCGAAAACTGCGTTTATATTTAAGAATGAGACTAAAGTTTTGCGCAAAGCTTTGGAAATGTAGAAAATGAATATAACAATTGAGGTCAATAAGTTTGGCAAATTTTATACAAACAGTAAGAAAAAGTGGTTCAAGATACTAGAAGCTAATATAAGTATAAGTCAAAAACTTTCCATGGATTTATAGAGTTAAATTTATTTTGTAGAATTACCGTTAAAGTCAAAGTGAAAAAGTTTATAATAATGAACGGTGAGATATAGCTTTGAGTAAAGCCATCAAGTAAACAAAGGTTTATAAGAATATATATTAACTATCGTCAGTTTTGTCCCTATTTCATGCATTTTAATTCCATATTGGATAGTTTACAGAACGATTAAATTAATGAAGAAATAAAAAATTGTCGAATTGGAAAATTCGTATAGCTATAAACCGGGTGTAGCTATATGCTTAAAGGGAGTGTTCGTTATTTAAGGGAAAAGAAATAAAATGTATCTTTTAGATTGGCAGATGAAATTTCAGTGAATGATCAAGCTTTTTTCATTGAAAATTCCAACATTGAACAAGACTTTTGTACAGACAACTAGATTTGGTAAGTCTGCACTGTGATATTGTAAAAAAAAGTTTATCTCTCAATTCAATGTTTACTAAAAACTCTATGTTCTCCATTTCAATGTAATAAACATGTTGTAAAATCACTAAAACGCTGAGTGGGATTGCAGGTTCTCATTCCAAATGACACTCGTTTGTAATTTCTTACACAAAATTCAAATTTTCAATTTTAAGCTCCTATAAATTGGAAATGCTCTGAGCTCATCATATATCCGAATACGTATGTATGGGACCTAAAATTACTCTTCTACTCGAAACAATACTTTCGTAATTTCCATTTCCTCGACAACATTTGTAATCAAACACCTCAAATAGTCCAGCTGTTAATGACAAAAAAAACACCTAACCGTTCACTTTGATGATACAAGTATGAAACTTTCTCACATTCTTAATATGCCTAGAAACACAAAATTTTGATATAGGGCCAGCTCATATTTTACATTTAAACGAGTTCTGCGAATGTCGTGTTTGCTGACGTCGTCGGTAGAAAAAAAAGTTCAGAGAAATCTGCAATTTCCCTGTATATTCTTAAACAAAAGCTAAAGATGATAGAAAAACTATATTACCACTTTTTCTTTTGGGCAATACTTTCCCAAATATTGTGCATGAAAATATTCTGAAAAGTGCTGAGTCAACCGTAAGTCCTGTGTCCCAAATGCAGGAGTCACTGTTTCACTATGATAGCCGGGGGGCACATTGTAATACACTTTGTATATTACGCTCACTGCGCGTGCGTTGTTTGAGCACTGTCGGATGGTGTAGAGAGTCTCATATGGAGACGTTCACCGTGTTCGCGATATGCAAAGCTCACCTTTATAGGTTTGAGCACTGTGATGACTCTACAATACAATCCATACATTGTGTAACCGTACGTCCTGTGTCCCAAGTGCAGGAGTCACCATTTCACTATGGTGATAGCCGGGAGGGCACATTGTAATGCACTATGTATATTACGCTCACAGCGCATGCGTAGATTGAGCAATGTTGGATTGTGTAGAGAGTCTCGTATGGAGACGTTCACCGTGTTCGCGATATGCAAAGCTCACCTTTATAGGTTTGAGCACTATAATAATTCTACAATACAATCCATACAACGTGTAACCGTACGTCCTGTGTCCCAAGTGCAGGAGTCACCATTTCACCATGATGATAGCCGGGAGGGCACATTGTATATACACTTTGTACAGTCTTCATCTTCGCCGACAAAACAACAAACATCTATGAAATGGACGCCTCATTTCAACAAAACAACAAACATCTATGAAACAACGTCTTCATCTTCGCCGACAAAAACATCTATGAATGACGCCTCAAACACAATAAACTACTAACAGACAATGTGACAAAGACATACAAACACACGCAAGAAGACACTGTAGAAGAAAATAAATTCCGAACTGAAACTAATCGCTGACAACCTAAAATCGCCGACCGAATAAACTCCATGAACCATACTCCAGCATTCATATCTTTAAAAGACCAGACTTTGAAACAACCCCAAATGCCGCCTCATCAACCCTGCAAAAGCCACCTCGGAAAAGTCAGCAACATCCTAGACAACATCAACAACATAATACGAAACAACTAAAACTAAACCAATGGCGCAAACAACAGATGCTATCACTTGGTTCAAATCCAACCGAACAAAGAAAATCATTCATATCACATCATAGACGACTTCAACGATCACCAAACACCATCAAATGCCTGAGGAAATATTACAATGCGAACACACGTTAAAACACGCAAGAAAACGCCTTTTTCCACCAAAACATATCCAAACGCAACGCTACCAACACGTTTGATAAACTTCATGGGCAGCTATGATGAGCGGAAGTTTATGAGCTTCAGGGTTATTCTTACTGACCAACTACAGCAGCGGCGGTATCGAAGCAACGTCGGCTTATACCGTGACGATGGCCTTGCAGTCATAAATACGAAATCTGGAAGACTCTGCGACAAAGAAAGAAAAACCTCTCACACCTATTTGACGAGCTTGGACTAAAAATCACAGCGATGACAAACCATGAACGCACAAACTTCCTTGACGTAACATTTGACCTAGCAACGACACACTACAAACCTTATAGAAACCCAACGACGAGCCCCTCTACATTCACAGATCTTCCAACCACCCACCATCAGTATTACGCCATTACCCACATCCATCAACAACCGAATTAACACACTCTCATCTGACAGCATACCTTCGAAAATGCCGCACCAATTTACAACCAAGCTCTTAAACAAAGCAACTTCACCACCCAACTCACCTTAATCCATCAAACATCAATGTAAACACCCACGCACAACAGAAAACGTAACGTCACTTTGGCTTTTAACCCACCATACAGCAAAACGTAAAACTCACATCGCCCATGACTTCCCTACAACTTATCGACAAACATTTCCCACCAAATACTATAATACTTCCAAGATATTCAACCGACACACAATACGCGTAAGCTACAGCTGCGGCGAAAACGAAAACTTTCATAACCAGACACAATAAGACTATTTTAAAAAGACTTAACCCAGACACAACCCAGAACAAGAACAACCCACCAAAGAAATGTAACTGCAGACAAAAACATCTATGCCCGACAAATGGCAATTGCCTGAAACCCAACGTAATTTCATACAAAATAACGTGACAACGACTGACAACAACGAAACAAAACTTACATAGGTGTTACTGTATGCGCTTTAAGACACGATATCAAACCACATTAAATCAATTACGAACATTAAATACCAAAAGACAGAACTTTTCTAAATACACGTGGATACTGAAAGAAAACAAACGTAACTACAACATTAAATGGGGCTTCATCAAACAACTTCCACCTCCGAACAAAACCAAAGAACCTGCTGTCTTTGGTTTGAAGAAAGGCTACTTATCCTGAAAGGACGTAAAAGAATATTTTAAATAAACGTTCCGTTATGTTTAGTGCATGCCGTCATGTAACTTAACACTTTTTAGTCGATGTATATAGTCAGCAAATATAATATTATCTGTCAGTTGCTGAAGATCGCCCTATTTGGCGTGAAACTCTGAGCGACAGCAAACAATTGTCCATTTTATTTTTATTTTAGTTCATTTTATCTTACGCTCTTCTAATATATAGAATATTGAGCGCTCTTTTATCCAGGAATATTATCCATAATAATACACTTTGTACATATATATATAATATATATAAAGTGTATAACAATGTGCCCTCCCGGCTTTCACCATAGTGCAATGATAAATCGTATCGAAACAATGAAGAACATTCAATTAAGTTTCTTTTAAGATTTATTACCCACGGTGTTAGTATTCAGAATACATATCTATTCTATCCTTTAACATTTCAGGTTTTAGCACTTTTTGTCACTTCAATGTTTTGAAACGATTCAAAAATCACCTAATTGATTCTCAACTCGTGCATAAAAATCGCAATGACTGACCAACCATAAAGTAATAATCTGTTATAATGTCCGTACTTGTTCTGTTGTAAAACTTGCTTTAAGATTGTAATAACGTGTGTCGAGGATTCGCTACTCAGCTGGTTCACTAACATTTCTGTTCTGAACCTTTTATTTTAAGCTAAACAAGCTACACAAGTAATAATCACTGGTGTATTATTACGCTATCTATTAGACTTAATTATTTACATGTTATTTATAGTATCGGTAATTACATAAGTCGAGCTTTCCTTTACGTCAATAGCCGTATTCACTCTTTCATTGCGTTTCAAGTTTTCACGCGTTGCAACAAAAAAGAGGAAACTAAACAAGCAAAGAGCTTACAAAACATACTTAAAACAAAAAAATGTTAAAGTGAAACTAACATAGTTACGAATGTTCATCTGCAGAACGTCTACAATGTTCATCAAACTCAAAAAGAAACGATGCAGGAGTTGGGTACTCCTCATTTGCAAAAAATCTGCAAGAATTTATTAACATTGATATGTTACCGGTGAATTTAGACATAAAGGGTCTCGATGGAGGTAATGGAATAGAAAAAACGCTGAAAGAACGCCAAGCATCATGGCGTAAGTCATGTAGGGATCTTTTCAACAATACAAAATTGCAACGTGCCCTGAAAGTTTAAGTGCGAGAAGACAGACGAAGAACAAACATCTGAAATCGAAAAGGTAGTCCAGTTAAAGCCAGAAGAGCAAGTTTCCTGCAGTTTCCAAGAACGAGTATTTTGTGATAAACCAGACAACTCTTCAAACCTTCGTGCAGGTTCA